GCTCTTTCCCTTCTTCTCCAGTGCCCCCCCCCCCTCTCTCTCTCTCTCTCTCTCTCTCTCACCCTCACTTGCTCCCGCCGCCACCTCTCTCCCCTCCACAGCTATTATACGAGCAAGACGGGAAATTTCTCTACACTTTCTCCTTCCTATTCTTCTCTGCGTCTCTCTCCTCTTCCACTATCTCTCTTTCTCTCTCTCACACCACGTTTTTTTTTATTTCATCGCCATGAGAGAGCACATCAAAAGTGTTGTTTTGCTCTTTTTTTGGAATATCTCTCTTTTTTCGGGTTTCCATAGCAGTGCTAAATTTATGGTGTGACACTTTTACGAGCGTTTTTATGCTGGAAATTGCGCGGGGGAATTTTTTGCAATTAGATGGAAATTGCCTTTTTAGCATTTTTTTTTTCTGGAAATAATGTGAGAAATTTGACACTTCTTGGAAAAAAATGTTGAATACTTTTTCAAGTCTTTCAATAATATTTTTCGAATGATATGTTCAAATCATTTAATTGCCGGAATTTTGGATTTTTCAGAATTTAGAGTTTTTGATATTCAATCCTTAAATTTTCAGAATGTTTTAATTTTTGATATTTTGTAAATTTGAAAATTCTTTTTGATTCTTGAATTGTCGGATGCTGACTCTAAAAGGTTTTGAATATTTAGAATTATTTGGAAATTCCGAAGTTTCTGAGCTTCTAAATTTTTGAGATTTTTCAATGTTTCGAATTTTTGAAAACTCACGAATCTTGGAGCTTTCGAACTTATGATTTATTGAATTCCCGAATTTTAGAATTTTAGAATTTCTGAATTTCTGAATTTCTTAATTTCTTAATTTCTGAATTTCTGAATTTCTGAATTTCTAAATTTTTGAATTTCTGAATTTCTGAATTTCTGAAGTTGTGAAGTTCTGAACTTCTGAATTTCTGAATTTTTTTTGGAATTATCGAACTTCTGAATTCCTGTTTTCAGAAAAATCTGAAAATCTAAAAATTCATCTCTGCAAAAACTCAATTTACCCCGAAAACAAAACTTAATCATTTTTAAGAAGCAGGTGCTTGAAAAAATGTTTTTTTTTTCGTAGTTTTGTAGCCGATAAAATTATTTTTATCTCAAAAAAATAAATTCAGTATTATCCTCTTTCAAATAAATCCATCCATTTCAATCTCTCTAATGGACTGCTCTACAAAAAATTCAAATAAAAATTTCCCGACAGATAATCACATGTGACTTTTTAATCACCAACAATCCGATTATCGATTATCTCCGGATTAAATTTTCTAGTTTTTTTTCTTTTTTTTCGCATTTTTCCTGTCCATTTTTGCACGTTTCCTGTCTTGTTCTCTCTCTCTCTCTCCTGAAACATTTTTTTCCAGAAGCACTTTTCTTTTTTCCTATAAATTTTTTCACCTTTTACATGATGATATACATATACACCTAATGCATTATTTATACAGGAACTCATCGGACTCTTCTGGAAGTTTCTCTCTTCGGAAAAAAGTTTTTTTTTAATTTTTGGAGACACAAGTCGTTTCAATCGACTCGTGTCCCCCAAATGCAACAACAGTCTGAGCAGCAGAATCTGAGCAATAATCATTTTCAAAGCGGAATTCAGGTGAGCATTTTTCGATTTTTTAAAAAGTTTCTGGAATTCGGAGTTATGGAATTTTGGGGTTTCCTGGATTTTCTTAAATTTTTGGATATACTTCAATTTCTCGGATATTCAAAATTTTTGAATTCTTGAATTTCTGAAATTCTCGATTTCATCAAAATCTGAAAATTTTTGAAACTTTCTGGATATCCAGGAATTTCTTATTTTTTCAGTTTATGAAAATTGCTGAACTTTTGAATTTTCGATTTTCGAATTATCAGAAGCTTTAATTTTCTGAAATTCGAATTTTGAATTTCAGGAATTCAGAATTCAATTCCAAAGTTTCTCTTTTTTTTGAATATCATTTTCAGAACTTTTGAATTTCTGAATTTCCGAATTTCTGAATTTTTCAAGTTTTACGGTATTTCCTAGAATTTGTTATATTTTGAATTTCTGAGTTTCTAAATTTCCGAATTTTTGAATTTCAAAAGTGAAATTTCTGAATTTCTGAATCTCAGAATTTCAGAATTTCAGAATTTCAGAATTTCTGGATTTCAGAATTTCAGAATTTCCGGATTTCAGGATTTCAGAATTTCAAAACTTTGAAATATCAGATTCTTAAACACTCAGAATTTCAGATTTTTTTTTGAATTTCTGAATTTCTGAATTTCTAAAATTCTCGATTTCATCAAAATCTGAAAAAATTTGAAACTTTCAGGATTTCCAGGAATTTCTTACTAGGAATTTCTTACTTAGTTTTTCAATTTATGAAAATTTCTGAACTTTTCAATTTCCGATTTTCCGGATTTCCTTTCCGGAGTTCTGAACTTCTCGAGACTTTCGAAGTTTCAGAATTTCTGAATTTCTGATTTTTGATTTTCGAATTATCAGAAGCTTTAATTTTCTGAAATTCGAAATTTGAATTTCAGGATTTCAGGATTTCAGAATTTCAGTTTTTTTTTTTGAATTTCAGAATCTCAAAATTTCCAAATTTCTAAATTTCTGAACTTCGAAATTTCTTCCATTTTTCAGCTCCATTACCCCTCCGATCCTCTCCAAACCAGTTCAAATGCTCCATATCCATCGGCAATCGAGTATTTTTCCGACTTCAAAACAGAATGGAATACTAAACCGGTAAGATTTTTTTAAGCTACCATAACCTGGAAAATATTGTTTGTTTTCATGGTTTTATCCCACCAGGTTACGGTAGTTTTTCTTGTCTTTCTTCTCGAGGTTCGGAGGAAAATAGTTAGAGGTTACTGTAGTTCTTTTTTTCCAGGAAATCCTCAATATAATCCTCGCGGCATGTGCTGACCCCTATTCCAACTGTATCAAAAATCAATCCTCTCCAAGGCCGTGTTCAGGGTATGTTTCGCAGACATCTGGATGCACGGACAGACAAAAAATACTTAAAACTCTGTCATTCCAGCTCTCAATTCATTTTCCCGCGTCTCGACGGTTCGTGGTTCAAAAGCGATGGGTACATTTGGCGAAAACGGAATAATGGAAGAAATAGCCGAGAGGATCATTTAAAATTGAAAGTTCGCGGGCATGACCAAGCCATTGAGGCCAAATATGTGCATTCTGCAATTGTACCAACGTTCCATAGAAGGGTTTACTTCTTGCCAGATGTGAGTTTTGCTGGAATAGGGACTGCTTAGTGAAATTCCGACATAAACCCATAAAACGGATCGGATTCTATTTAATCCAACATTTTTATTTGGCAATGTTGACTTTGACCGATCAATCTGGCCGTAAAAAGTTAATCCCTTCTTTCAGAGTCCCTACGTGCTGGTACACTATCTGAATGAGAAAACGGACAACAAATTGGACGATCAGGCTGAGGAAATTGCGAGGAGCATGATTACTAACAACGTCTTGGTGTCCCTACAACAGCTTCATGAGCAGCTATTCCCGATATGCAAGTGAACGTTTTTGTTTTGCAGTAGAGTGAATTTTCATTTTTCAAAGTTATGTTTTTTGGAACTCAGCGCTTAAAAAAGAGTCATCAAAGACATACCGTAACCAATAGAACCCCCTTCTAACTTTCAATCTTGAGCCAATTTATCTTGGTTTCTATAAAAGATAATAAAAAGTGGTCAACTGATGAAATATTTTTCATGTTATGATAAGCATCTTGTCAGTTGACCATTTTTTGATATCTTTCCCAGGAAGTGAGATATATGGGCTCAAAGTGGGCGGCTTAGGGGAGGGACGTTTTATTATGTTTTCATGATCCGTTTCAATCGGGCCGGCTCATAACTTTGCTCAATCATGGACTTTTTATTTGAAACAATAAGTCAAATGTAGCACTTGTCAAGAACTATAGAAAAATATTGAACTCGACTATCTTGAAAAGCCGAGTTTCAAACCTGATGTCGTCAACGAGGCCGGTGCTACCGGTGACAATTATTCTAGCCCAAACCCTTCGCTGCCTCTGGTTGGATACTCGCTGTTTAGATATATCGAATTATATATCATTTTGTAGATCTTCTAAAGTTATACATTTTCATTCAGTTTCATACTGAAATTCATGTTTTGAACCGAGTTATGCACCATACAATTTGTCGTCAAGGCTCGCCCCCTTTTTTGGACCACGAGCTAACTCCGTGTCCTGCTCATAACTTGGCTCAATTTCGGACTTTTTGTTTAAAACTAAAAGCAAAATTTAGCATTTGTCAAGATCTACAAAATGGTACTAATATCGACCATATTTGAGTGGCGAATGTCCTGCCAAAGACTGTGAAACAAGGCGAAATAGGTCAGAAGCATCGGCCTCCTTTACGTCCCCGGGGTTCAAAACTCAAGATTCGTAGATAGTCGAATTGTGTTTCATATTTTAAATCTGGCCAAGTCTTGCGTTTTCATTTAATTTCAAACCGAAGTTCCAAGTTTGAACCGAGTTATGGTCTCTAGATAGGCTCCTCAACTACCATATTGCTCACCTCGCGTTTTTTCAGTCTACCAAGACGCGGATCAGCTAGTCATCGAAGTGAATGAACATTTGAAAAAGAAAGGGATCAACTTACCAACATCTCCTCTACCTCAAGAACCAGCTACCACTACACCGAAAGCACCGCCACCCATAGCATCGGGAGCTCGGGAATTGGAACGACGGAATTCGTGTAGTTCGGCTTTCCGAAAAGGATTGTCTTCAGTGGCATTGAGAAGACAACCATCGGCGAACAGTGAGATTGATGCAAATCATATTGGTAAGTAGGACTACCGTATTCCATTCATATATGCCAGCTTACGCTGACTGCGCCGGCTGCAACAGTGTAGCTCATCCTTTAGCGGTGTGCTCAACCAATTGATTAATTCCAGGCACGATGCTCAAACGCTTCGGCTGTAACAACACCTCCTCTCCCGACAAAACCGTCGTCCCAGCGATTCACACATTCCAAGCCATCCGCTCAGCGCACGCCAACCACCAAGCAATGGAATCTCGCTCCCCATCCGGTGACGGTGATTCCAGACCGATCACTTTCGACGAAGACGCCTCCTACCAACAACTCTCCATCAAATCCTCCTCGACACCAGCTAGCGCGTTCGCCGAGAAGATGAAAATTCGAAGTGGGTCTCAAGAGTCGCCGATGGGACCACCAGCTACGCCGTCGTCCTCGATCAACTCTTCTTCTCTGATCCCCATTATCGAAATGAGTCCGTCCAGCTCATCGATAAAAGGAGGTCAAAAGATGCTGATCGTTGGAGGGTACTACCGAAAAGGTCATGGTTATAAGATCTCATTTGGAAGAGGAAGAATGATGTCAGCGAATTTGATACATGCTGGTGTCCTGTCTTGTGTTATACCACCATCGGTTAGAGCGGAAGTGGTCCAGGTGCAGGTGTTTTGTAATGGGCAGCCCATCTCCACAGCCGTCGAGTTTACTTATGAGCAACCACCAGAGCAGCTGCAAAAGGAGAACGATGAGAAGTTGATGCAAATTTTTGAGAAGATCCGGATTATTGCATGCGCCTTTAATGCGTACTCGTCGGTTGAGGTAACCGAGCTCAGTTGAAATCCTCAACAATACCTTTTTTTTTCCAGAACATTCAATCATCATCATGCATGGAATCTGTCCTAACAAACCTCGTACACCAAATCGACAACGAAATCTCCCATTCTCACCATCAAACGTTCCGAATGGAACTCCTAAATGGGCTCAGTCAATTCCCATCGAAAACTGTTCTTCACCTAACTGCCGCGTTTGATTATGAACGGCTATTCGAAGCACTGATCGACCTGGGCCGGAAAGTTCCAGCATGCCGAGAGCTGGATATTATGGCGAGGGACTCGGACGGAAGTACCCCATTGCATACTGCATTTAGGTGTCATTCCGAGAAAATTGTTCGGTTGATAATGTCGATCGATGAGAGTGCAATGCATGTGATGGATGATCGAGGGAGGACAGCGGCCGAGTTGGCTCCAGATGATTCGATTGATATGGTCTCCGAGAAAAGTGAGTCTGAGTTTTTTGAAGTCAACATCGCTATCAATAACTATCCTGTAGCACAAGTTACCGTACCTGTAATAGGGTCTTTTAAGAAACATCTTATCAGTGGACAACTTTTTGACATCGTACATAGTAATTGAGATAATTGACAGCTTACGGCAGCTTCCTGATCAGAAATCATTGAAGATTAGAACTTGTCAAGCTCAAATGCTTCAGTTTCAAATTATATTTCCAGTTGAGCCATCAACTTAGAATTTGCCCTGTAACTTGCTTCAAACCTAACCGTTTTTGTTAATTCTTATCTAGAATTGTAGAACTTGAAAAATTCTACAAGCTCATATTAAAACCAATACCATTTTTGGAAAAAATAAGCGGGTTGAAATGATTCATTGAGCCTCACCCCTCGCATTTTTCTAGTACATAGAATCACATTCTCTACGTTCATTTTGAGCTTAATTATTTTGAGCTTAATTATATGGTTCTCATAAGATATATCAAAAATTTTTCAACTGATAAAATGTCGACTATATAATGGTGAATAATTTATCAGTTGGAATTTTTTTGGTGTCTTATGAAGGAACCGAGATAATTGAGCTCAAAGTGCTTCCGAGAGCGAAGCTCAAAATCCCAATCTCTTTTTTCCAGACAACGAGGAAGAGCGAGTCAACGCGACCGAATTGTGGGTGATGACAAACGGAAAAGCGTTCACCAGTGAGACATTGCTCAACGGAAGGTCAAATGACAAACCAGACGAACTCATCCGTGACTCCTCCTACTCTATCATGTCTGAAATGTACGAAGGACCATCTATCCTCCAGACAGGAACTTCTCGAGAATGTGACGAGGATTGTGAGTCATGCTGCGATGCAAAATGTATGGGACAGCTACATGTGGAAATCGCAATGGATACGGATGTTCATGTACCGGATTCTCCTAAAATGGCTCGGTTGTTTCAAGCAGTTACCAGTCCTGGAATCATGGTGACACCGAATGTGCGCGCGAGAATGGCAGATTTGGCGAGACAGATTATTGAGGCGTTGCCGGAGAGGATAAAAGGAAATTCGGAAGTTTCGTATCGAGATGAAGAGGAGCAGAATTGTATTATGAATAATTGTGGAGGGATGTTTTATCAACAACCGGGTTCCTCGATGACCGCAGAGTCTGGAATTGTGGACGATTATATTGATATGATGACAGCGGAGTCGAGGGCAGACTTGTGAGTTTTTCGTCTGTAAATGAAGCCGAGTAGCTCATAGTCAGCGTATCTTTTTGTCACGGCTTCGAAGAATTAATCGAGGAATTTTTGAAATGGAAACATTTTAACGTGATGACCTAACTTTTGCAAGTTTTGTTTGCTAGGCCACCATGGCCTAGACATGGCCTAAAATGCTCCTGGTGTGTTTTCCAGATCATTTTAACTTGGTGGCCTAAGTTTTGCAAGTTTTGTTTTCTAGGCCACCATAATGGCCTATACATGACCTAACGAGCCTCTGGTGCGTTTTCTAGGTCATGTTAAAGTGATAACCTAACTTTTCGAATTTAGATTTTCTAGGCAACCATAGTAAAATGGCCTGGAAATGATCTGACATTCCTGACATTCCCCTGGTGTGTTTTCCAAGTCAATTCAACTTGGTGGCCTAACTTTTTCAAGTTGGGTTTTCTAGCCACCACTTGAAAATACACTAAAAATGTCCTGATATGTCACTGGTTTTTCGCCCATTTTGAAGTGATGGCCTAACTTTTAGATATTGGGTTTTCTAGGCCATCACGTTAAAAGGACCTGGAAAACACACCAGGCGCGTTTTAGGCCATTTCTAGGACATTTTATCATGGTGGCCTAGAAAACTCAACTTTGAAAAAGTTAGGCCACCATGCTGGAAAGGCCAACATGCTAGAAAAGTTGAAACTACTTGGAAAACACACCATGGGCATGTCAGTCCATTTCTAGGACATTTTACCATGGTGGCCTAGAAAATCCAACTTGCAAAAGTTAGGTCGCCACTTCGAAATGATCTAGAAGACACACCAGGGGAATACCAGATCCAATCCTTGATAATTTTTAAGCGGGGGCCTAGAATACCCAGCTTTTAAATTTAAACCACCAAGAAAAATGAACTGGAAAAACAGCAGAGGCATGTTAAGCTATTTCTAGGCCATGTTACCATGGTGGCCTAAAAAGTCCAACTTCTTGTACAAGTTTGGCCACCATTTCAAAATGTCCCAGAAAACACAACAGAAGAATTTAGGCCATTTTTAGGACATCTTACGATGATGACCTTCAACCCCCAACTTACAAAAGTTAAGCCAATGCTTGAAAATACGAGCAACGACACTCCAAAAATTTGCATTGTGCATTTTCGAAAAAATTCCTCGAAGCATTTTTTTTTTCTAACAATCTGCTCATAGCTGTGACCGGGCAGCTTACAAAATCCCTATTTTTGCAGATTCCCAGAACAAGCGCCACTGTCCACGGAAACGACCACCGAAACAAGCACCAGCGCTCTCACTTCTGCACAATTGTTCGCCACCAATGTTAGTTTTTGTATTATTTCAAGTAGTTTCATCTTTTTACTTTTCCTCCCACACACAAAAAGAGAGTTCTATTTTCAGTTCTTCGACGATCGATCATTCGCTTCTTCATCTACAAGGGCAAATACATTTGAAAGTGATAGTTTGGAGTTTGACAAGTATGTCATCAAATGGGCAATTTTATGTTTGAGATGGATTTTTGATGACTGGGGAAGAGAGATCGAAAGATTAGATGGAAAACCTTGAGAATTGAGAATTCAAAAGTTGTAGAATCTGAGAATCCGAGAATCTGAAAATCTGAGAATCTGAGAATCTGAAAATCTGAGAATCTGAGAATCTGAGAATCTGAGAATCTGAGAATCTCAGAATCTCAGATTCTTTGAAATTCAAGATTCCAAAATCTTTGAATCTCAGAATCTCAGAATCTTAGGATCTCAGAACCTCAGAACCTCAAAATCACATCACGGAATCTCAGAATCTTAGAGCCTGAAACCCTGAAAATCGGAAAAGTCTAGAATCAAAAAATCGAAAAATCCCTAAAAATCCCAAAATCCCAAAAAATTCCGAAGTCCATCTCAAAAATCGCAAAATCTTGAATATCACGAAATTCTAAAATCTGAAAATTCTAAAAAATTCCAAAACATTCCGAAAATCACAAAGGAACCAAAATCCGAGCAAATCCCAAAATCATAAAACACCTGAAAATCCGAAAAAAAATCTGATAACCAAAAAAGAAATCTGAAAAAAAATCTAAAACATAAAAATCTGAAAATCCGAAAACCTGAAAATCTAGAAGTCTGATCACAAAAAATCACTAAATCTGAAAACTACAGAATCTCAATTAAACCCCAAACAAACAAAACAAAAATCCCAAAATCCCCAACAAAAAAAAAACTAAAAACTAAATCTCAAAAAATCCGAAATCTTTAGAAAGATCCCAAGATCACAAAAATCCCAGAAGCTTAAAATTATAAAAAATTCCAAATCCCGAAAAAAAATCGGAACGTCTGAAAATCTGAAACCCGAATATTCGAAAACCAGAAAATCTAGAATTCTGGAATTCTATAAGTCTGAAAATCTGAAACTCGGAAAATCTGAGAATCGAAAAATCTGATCAAATACCGAAATCTGAAAAATCCGAAAAAGTGAAAATATAAAATTCTAAAAAATTGAATCCTAAAATCCCAAGAAAAATCATATAAACTAAAAAAAACCATAAAATCCTAAAAATCCCCACTTTCAGAGATCTCGGCGAATTCTTCTCTCATCACGTGGACCGCTTCGTCGACCCAATTCAGCAGCGACTTGCGAACCTTAAGTATAACGGTGAGCCTGAATTTTCGAAATTTTGAAAATTTGGTAAAAATGGGCTCAAAAAACCATGTCAAGCTTTTGAGAAATTCACGAAAACTTCACGAGAAATCCACCGGGTAATGAGCCAAAAAAAAGAAAAAGAAGATATTTTTTGTGTGCACCTGTATGACGTCACAACACACTTTTTTGCTTCCTTTCGTTTTTTTTTCAGTCTCCGAGTACTTTTTCTCTGCGTCTCTCATTTTTTAGACTCTCTCACTTTTTTTGGTTCCCAACCTTTGCAGCTGACGCTGAGAGAACGTTTTTTTTGAGTTTTTTTTTGGAAGTTCTGAACAAAAATAAAAATAAGCTGTACAGTTTTTTATTATCATTGATAAGAAAAAAACCAACATAAATAGTAATTGGTTATTTTAGTAATTGGTTATTTCTGAATTTCTGAATTTCTGAATTTCTGAATTTTTGAATTTCTGAATTTCTGAATTTCTGAATTTCTGAATTTCTGAATTTCTGAATTTCTGAATTTCTGAATTTCTGAATTTCTGAATTTCTGAATTTCTAAAAAAAAAAATTTCCTGGAAATTAAGGAAATCCGAAATGTTGAGAAATTCGAAAATAAATCATGAAATTCCAGAAGTTCAAAAATTCAGAAATTCTATGGTCTGTAGCTCAGAACAGTAAATCGTGGCTTTATGGAAACCTAGGCCAACATCTTAGTTTTCTAGGCCACCATTTGTGGCTCCTAGGCCAGAAACATCTGATATTTTTAGGTACGGTCTGACTCCCAGTTTGTGCAAACACTACTGTGCTTCTCTCTCTCTCTCTCTCTCTCTCTCTCTCTCTCTCTCTCTCTCTCTCTCTCTCTCTCTCTATCTATCTATCTATCTATTTCGATTGCTCATCCTTTGCTCTTCTTTCCGATCTTCTTAAGATCGTTGACCCCTCCGATATATCCTCCTCTTCGGAGCAAGAGGTTTGACGTCAATGGAACACTTGAAGATATTCGGTTTAACCTTCTTCCACCCATCGACCGATTTTTCTCAAAGACCGTCTAGCCGATCAGTCGCCTTTGAAAGAATCGGAGAATGACAATTTTCGTTTTTTTTTTATTTTGAAATCTGCTTTACTCTAAAATCTAAGAATTCGTAATTCTTTTTGATCTCACCGCCGCCGTCCAGAAGCTTCCAGAAATTTCGAATTTCGAATTTTCGTTTCGGCACATTTTCACCTCTTTTCGTCTTACTTTTTATTTGTTCCAGGTGTGAGAAGAGAAATATTTTGTTTTTGTTTTCTTTAGTTCTCACCTGAGACTCTCCGAAAATTCTTTTTGATCTGTTGAGAAGTTTTTTGGTTTCTTGGTTCTTTTTTTTAAGATTCCAGGAATTCCAGAAATTCCAGAAGAAAATTGGATTTTCAGTTCTCCCCAAAATGTGCCAAATTTTCTAACAATAAAGTTTCAGAACGTTTGAGTGTTCCAGAGTTGTTCTTCCTTAACTTTTGAATTTCCAAGTTTTAAGAATTTATAGGCTTTTCAATTTCTCTAGAATTCCCGAATCCCACTGTCTCATAATCCAATATTCCTAAATTTAGACCACAATGTGCCCCAAAATCCTTCATATCCGATCAAAAAACGCGGCGTGGGTGGCCGATTTTCTTGTAAATATACTCGGGTGACAGAATCAACAAAAAATGGTCTTGAGTATTTTTTTTGCAGACTATTTGTGCTCTGTTCCCTCAGAAAAGTATGTGCAAGAAATGATCTAAAAAATGCAATAAATTTAATGACACCTTATGATCAAAGTATGACGTATTTTGATTATCAGTTGATAACAAGAAAAAATTAGTCGTTTTTTTCTTTGTGGAATAAAAAAATAGAGGTTATCAAACATCAGGAGCAGGTCAGAAAAGTTTTAATTTTTCGGAATTTTTAAACTTGTTTGAATTCCAGAGTTTTTTGAAAAATCTCCCAATATCTGAAATTCGAAGTTTCAAAAATAATAAAAAAGAATTCTAAGATTCTGTAATTCTGAAATTCTGAGATTCTGAGATTCTGAGATTCTGAGGTTCTGAGATTCTGAGATTCTGAGATTCTGAGATTCTGAGATTCTGAGATACTGAGATTCTGAGATTCTGAGATTCTGAGATTCTGAGATTCTGAGATTCTGAGATTCTGAGATTCTGAGATTCTGAGATTCTGAGATTCTGAGATTCTGAATTCTGTAATTTTGAGATTCTGAGATTCTGAGGTTCTGAGATTATGAGATTCTGAGATTCTGAGATTCTGAGATTCTGAGATTCTGAAATTCTGAAACTCCGAAACCTTAAAATCCTGAAATTCCGAAATTCTGAAGTTTGGAAATTCTGAAATTCTAAAATTCAGAAATTCTAAAATTCTGAAATTCTGGAATTCAGGAATTCTGAGATTCAGAAATTCAGAAATTTCACTTTTGAAATTCAAAAATTCGGAAATTCAGAAACTCAGAAATTCAAAATATAATAAATTCCAGGAAATACCGTAAAACTTGAAACATTCAGAAATTCGGAAATTCAGAAAATGAAAAGTTCTGAAAATGATGTAGGGACTACAGTATACTTGTTCGCAATGGAGCACATTTGTAATAAACACTGCTGAGTTACGCAAAAACCCCAGAAGTTCCCTTAGAATCTTCCACTTTCAATTTGACATTCTTATCCTCCTATAAATATCAAAATCTCACAACCCCGCTATCAATCAATCAATCAGAAAATGTGACTAGTCCCTAGATCATCTAATCTCCAGGTCACCTGTTTAATCAAAATTTGATCTACACACACTTACTTTTCCTCGGAACTCCTGGGGGTCATCTGCTTCTTTTCTTATGAACTTGCACCGCACCCAATGACGTCAATTGGGAGGAAAATGAGACAATTGTTGTCTGTGAGAGAGCACTTTGAGGTAGAGAGACGTAGAGAAGCGAGAGGGAGAGATCAGTTTCGTTCGGGAAGCAAAACGAATTCCGAACTACTCCCCCACATAGCTCAAATGTTGAGCTGTGTCGGTTTTGGCATATTTCTTTAGCTTCTGAATTTTAAGAGTCCTAGTAGAATTCCCAGTACCCTCCTCTTCGAAAAATCGCTTTTTTCTAGCTACAAGCACTTAAAATGAGTTCTCTTGCTTCGTTTTTTTTTCCCATCTACCGTAATCCTCTTCCATCTTTACAGTACTCTTTTCAGCACAGGTGGAGCCGTGCCTCTTGCCACCACTTGGGAGAAATAATAATCAAATTTTAATTTTATAAAAAATTATGGTTTACTCACAATTGAACCCGAAACGGTCCACACTCGATGCCGACGATCATCTGTTGTATAGAGGATTTTGTGGTACGGAGAAAGTGGTGGCCTAGGAATCTAACGGGATTTTCTAGGTCATCCAAATTTAAAGAGGCATAACTTGGCTCGAAAATGAGAGATTTTGAAATTTTATAATGTCACAAGGACCTAAAAATCTGAAAATTCAAAAAATTTATAAATCGATATTTTAGATGACGAGCAACGGGACGTTTACGAAGCGGCGATGACAATTCAACGAGCCTATCGTGTGTACCGTGCTCGGAGCACGACTCGCCGACAGGAGGATTTGGAGAGACGAGCAGCGTTGAAGATTCAAGGTTGCTATAGAAGATACAAACAGTTTTGCTATCTGAAGAAACTTCATAATGCCGCCATTGTGATGCAGAAGCATTTTCGAATGAGAAAGGTGAGGAATTTTTCAGAAATTTGGAAATTTATAGATTCAGAAACTCAGAAATTCAGAAATTCAGAAATTCAGGAATTCAGAAATTCAGAAATTCAGAAATTCAGAAATTCAGAAATTCAGAAATTCAGAAATTCAGAATATCTAGGAACTTTAGAATCTCAAAAGTTGAAATGGTCCACAAAATTCAGAAATTCAGAAAACCAGGAAATTCAGAAATTCCAAATTTTCAGCGCAACGACAAGGAAGAGAACAACGCTGCCGTTGAAGCGGTGATTGCCAGTGTCCCAGAACATCCAACACTCGATGGACAAACAATTTGCATTCAAGTTCCAAAAACCAACTCAACTTTGCTCCGCGAAAGAGCCGCGACGACTATCCAGGTCGCCTATCGTTATAGACACCGGAAGAGGCAGGCGGCCGCTAGGAAGATTCAGAACTTTATGAGACAAAATCGCAATAAGTAAGTGTGGCCTAGAAATCACTAAATCCTGGGCCATGGGTTTTTCAATTCATTTCTTTAAAAAGTACTTTTGACCTCTTATCGTTAGAGAACCTTCAAAGGTTCTTTAAAAGCATCTTTAAGGAACTCTTAATTCACCTTTAAGGGACCTGTGAAGAACGTGAAGTAATCCTTAAAGAACCTTCAAGGATCTTTAATAGACCCTTCAAGGAACATTAAGGAAATCTTTAAGAAACTCTAAAAGAACCTTAGAGGAACCTCCGAGGAGCCTTTAAAGGACCTTGCCGTACCTTTAAAAACCTCACAAAAAATCATAAATATCCTGAACCTATTACCCTCATTCCTCTATTCAGTGGGATCCTAGAAGATGGTCATTCTCAACGATTTGTAAGTTTAAATATTCCATGAATATCGTTATCGTCAATTTATTTTGTTTTGTTAATTATCTATCGTAATTATCGTGATTGGTTCTCTATTTTGCATCTATAGTTTCTATTGACCCCTTTTCTCACAAAATATACCGTAATTCTTCTAATAGCTCTCTTTGACCCAATTTATTTCAGGTATCATGAGAGATATCAGAAAATGGTCGACTGATAAAATGTTCATCATAAGATGAAGAACATTTTATCAGTTGAAAACTTTTTGATATATCTCAATGGGACTGAGATAACTCGAGTCAAAGTTGACAAGAGGTCTTACGGTATTCTTCACAGATCAAATCATAAATTTTTCAAACTAAAAAATTTCAGATTACGCAAAATGCACGCGCAAAACGAAGACGGTGCGTCGCTTGTCCATCAAAAAATGAACGCCAACAATCAGCAACAACAACGGATCTCACTGGCGAGCAACGGAACAACAGAGGTGATTTGCCGCGAAAAAATTAACAAGTATTATTTTTTCATTTTGGAAAGTTTAATATCCCGAAGCCTCACAATCAGAATTTCAGAAAAAATTGAAGCTTTCAAAATTTTGAAAACCAGAACGCCGTTATTCTAGAATCTCAGAATCTACAGAATTCATTTTTTTACTTTGAGCTGTAAAGAAATTCGACAATTCTGAGATCCTGAGAATCTGAGAATCTGAATTTGAAAATTTGAGAATTTGAGATTCTGAAAATTTTAAAATTTTCAAAAAAAACTAGACCATCGAAACTTAAGAACCTCAGAGTCCCGTAATTTTAGAACCTCAGAATCTCAGAACCTCAGAATCTCAGGATCTCAGAATCTCAGAATCTCAGAATCTCAGAAACTCAGAATCTCAGAATCTCAGAATCTCAGAATCTCAGAAACTCAAAATCTCAGAATCTCAGAATCTCAGATTCTTTGAAATTCAGGATTTCAGAATCTCAGAATATCAGAATCTCAGAATCTCAGTATTTTAGAATCTCAGATTCTTTAAAATTCAGGATTTCAGAATCTCAGAATCTCAAAAGTACAAAATCTCGGAATCTCAGAATCTCAGAAACGCAGAATCTTAAAACCTCTAAATCTCTAAACTTCTAGATCCCTGAATCTCAAAACCATAATTTTCCAGATACCATCCATCTCAACCATGACCCCGCCACCACCATCATCTCAGACTACCCAAACATTCCACGTGGCTGCTGCACAAGCTCCGCCCCCTCACCATCAGCCACGCCCACAATAGTTAATCTCCCACCAAGTCCCCAATTTCATCGGCCAACACCAGCAACAACAATGCCACGTCATCATCATCAATGGGACCAACTGAAGCCGCCTGTAGCGTCATACGGTTGCGGAACACTTGCATAATTTTTTTTTTGTTGTAAATTTTAATTTTTCCATGTTTCCGCCCACAAAACTAAGACACCCAGACCCTATGAATTACGAGTTTTTTGTAAAAATTCTATTAATTTTTTTCTGAAAATTGTTATGCGCCTTTAAACTTTTTTTTCCACTTCCCCTGTGTTTATCAATGAATAAGTGATCATATATATCCATTTTGGGCTAACAATAGCAAAAATTCTGGATTATTTTCTTTGTTCCCGTTTTTGGAAAAAAGCGGATGACGATAAATTGATAAGAGATAATGGAATGAATGAGGCGGAACGAGATTTTTATGGAAGAAGAGCGATAGAGAAATAGAGAGACGCAAAGAAAGAAAGAGAAATTCTTGGAATCACCACATTCTTCTTTTTTCTTTATCTTATTGTTAGGCTTATCCATTTATCAATTTATCAACGCCATCAGTTTTTGGTAGACAGATTCTGGATTTTCAGGATTCTGAAATTTTCAATTTTTCCCATTTTTGTCTGAAAATCTGAAAATCTGAAAATCTGAAAATCCCAAATTTTGAAGGAATCAAAAGGATCTTGCTTTTATATTTTTTTTACTTCTGAGATTCTGAAGGATTCTGAAAACCCTTTTGAATCTGGGAATTTCAGATAAATTGAAATTTTCCACATTGTGGAATTTTTGAAATTTTCTGAAAATTTTCCAATTTCTGAACTTTTAGAATATCCAAATTTCTGAATGTTCAAAAGCTTTGAACGTGTAGATTTTTCTAAAATTATTTTTCTGGAATTTTCCATTTTTCTGAAAATTTTTAATGCCTGAGTTTCTTTTTTTTCAGAATCTCGAGAATCCATTTTTAAACTTTGAAATTTCAAGAATTCAGAATTTGAGAATCTGAGAATCTGACAATCTAAGAATCTAAGAATCTAAGAATCTGAGAATCTGTAAATCTCATAATCTCAAAATCTCCAGAATCTCAAAATCTCCAGAATCTCAGAATCTCAGATTCTCAGAATCTCAGACACTCAGAATCTCAGAATCTCAGAATCTCAGAATCTCAGAATCTCAGAATCTCAGAATCTCAGAATCTCAGAATCTCAGAATCCCTGAAAGTCTGAATTTAAGAATTTTCCATTTCCCTGAAAATTTTAATATCTGAATTTCTAAAGCTGGGAATTCCCGGATTTCCTAAAAATTTTGAAATTCTAATTTTCTGGAAATTCTGAACTACTTCTAAAAATTTTCAGCGCTTTTCATTTTCAAATTTCCTCAAAACAAAAAAAAATAGTTCAAAAAAAATCCGTTAAATCCTCTCCATTTTTTCTCCTGACCATTCATATCCGATCGCCATCTGACCCAAAAAATGAATAGAACAATAAAGTGACATGAATGGAAACTACTTTTTCTCTCTCACTTCAAAATAAGGCCGCTAAGCGGTCAGTGTCTTTTTTCTCTGATTCTCTTACTATTTAGAGACTCTAAATAGGAAGATTTGTATCTCAAAAGTTTTGAACTTCTTACTTCCAACTTTGAATTTTTGGTTTTTTTTGTTTGAAAGTTATGATGATAGATTTTGTTCAAAGCTTTGAGAGAGTCAAACCTGTGGACCAAATATCAAAGGCACCGCGTCGCTACCGGTTGAGCTACGCGGTTTCCAAAAATGCACAACCTCGTTTCTTTTCTATCCTATTCTTTTCTAAAAACGCATTTTTTTATCCAAAATTTTCCAGAATGTTCCGAAGACTCGGTGAGAAGACCACTCTGTACCGGGCCGAGAGCCCATCTCAATACTCATTGGCGTCTCATCATCATTCGGAAGTCTCACTGCCTTCTGTTGATTATTCACAAGTAAGTGACTGGTGGCCTAGAAAAGTAACATATGAAATTAGGCCAAGAAAATACTAAAATACGGCTAAAAGATAGGTGTACATATTACATGATCCTAGACTGCTAAAGAAAATCCATGACCACTAATGTGTCCTAATTTATCTTGGTTCTTGTAAGAGATATCAAAAAGTGGCCAACTGATAAAATGTTAGTGATATTATGATAAACATTTTATCAGTTGACTACTTTTTGATATCGTCTACAGTAACCGAAAAAAATTAGTTAAAATTAGGTAGGAGCGCTTTAAGGTTTGATGGAAAATTCCTATAGCTTTCCCCGTATTTTGTTTTCTTAAACTTGTAACTTTTTGAAAACAAAGAAAGTATTTTGATTTTGTTCACAAATGTTTTCAGAAATTTCAAATTTTCTAGAGCTTTATAGAATCGAGATCTGCTGTTTCAAAGTGTCAATATGCATAACGCTACCCCGTCCACAAACTGAGCAGCAGAAATGATAGAAACAGCTAGCGACGAATTTTTGACTTCTTGAATATTGAATCGAACTTTTAAATTGAAGCTTTTCGGTTTTGCTCGTCGAATTAGGATGTTTGCTATCAGACAGAACAGTGATAATACGAAATAGAAGCCAAGAGCATATCTAAAAAAAGCTAGCTTCAAACATTTTTGTGATGAAAATTCAAGTATATCCTCTTTGATGCTAATGATCTTGGTTTCTGTAAAAGATATCAAAAAGCAGTTTGCCAATAAAATGTGTCTGATATCATGATAAACATTTTATCAGTTGACTACTTTTTGATATCTCTTACTTACTGAAACCCAAATAAATCAGATCAAAGTCAGAAGCCCAATTTTCCAAAAGTTATCTTCCAGGAAGACGACCGTCACTCTTGCAACACCCTTATCGCCGACGAATGGTCACAAAGTGCGGATCTCCATTCTCCGCCAATTCAACCACTTCAAAAGCCATCCGAATCGGAGGACACACCCCAAGAGCGCATTATTACTCGCCGCGAAATTGCGAACACGGAATCGGATTTGTGTAAAAAGGTTTGTAATGGACTTTCTCTTTATCCGTGAAATCCATTAAGACTTTTGTTTTCATGGTTTTGAACTTTGAGGGTATACAAATTGTGAGGCATACCCTTGTGGTCTAAATGCTGCTGATCGGATTGGTGCCGCTGATGTGCTCTTTAAGCTTGATTATCTCGATTTCTATGACAGATATCAGAATTTTGTCTACTGATAAAAGGTTGCTTATATTTTGGCGCACATTTTATTAGTTGACAAGTTTTTGATATCTCTCATAGTGGCCGAGATAATTTAGCTCAAAAAGAGGCGGCGCGTGAGCTAGGTAGTCGCAGCCAGCTCTAGTGACCGAACATCTCAAATTTTGCCATTTTCAGCTCTCCCTCATCGTCGATCTGGTCTCGGACTTTGCGAATGACGCCAATCGTCTCTACGAAGGAGCAGATGAGCTTTTAAAAGAGCTCCGAACCAAAATCAGAGTCTACATTTATTTTTTGGACGTCGAAATGGCTGATGTTGAGAAACTGTTGAGATTCAATGTGGACCGATCGACGATCTGTGATGAACGCATTGATTGGTTATTGCATTTCACAAAGTGTCATGTGAGTTTTTTGGATTGCCCAGAATTCTTGAAATTCCCGAAAAATTCCAGAAAGAAATGCGCCGCGTCCTAAACGAACTATCTGAAGAAGTGTGTGAAGATCTGGAGTCGTGTCTAGAAATGAGAGCAAAGGGTGTGATTGGCAAGAAGCCAAGTACAGTAACCATCCAAACTTTGGCCGGGATGAGAGATGGAATGCAGAAGGCTGCGAAGCTACTCGGTTGTATGCCCCGTCAAAGGGCTTAAACTTTGATTTGATTTTTCTCTGAAATTATAGAGAAAAAACTACTTCTGACTTTCTGAAATTAATTCAATTTATAAATGTTCGCTTTCAAAAAAGTAATAAAAAAGAATTTGCCACCGGGCGGAGTCGAACCCCGCACCTCACTGGTGAAAGCGAGGCGCGCTAGCCACTACGCCACCGCTCACAACACCGAATGGTAGTAAAGATGGCGTATACGTCCTTCTCCCTTCTCCATCCTTGCTTCGCCAGAATTTCCAGTAAAAATATTATAAAATTTATTTAAAAATTAGAAATCCAATTTAATGGGCGGAGCCTGAGCGTCCCATGAATTTCTCAATTGCGCCATTCTTGCATCCATTGTCTCCTTCTTATTAACGTTTGTCATTTGAAAAATCTTGATTTTCCGATGATTGGAAATCCATTGAACACAAAGGATTACACTTACAGGAAGGAATTGGCCAGCATAGGGAATTGTCTGGAAATTTCAAAAAAATTTTAAAAATTATGAATCTAGACTCACATAAACACACAAAATGATATTATGAAAATATTCGACTGAAATTCCGAATCTTGCGAAAATGAGCACATAACTGGAGCACACATAAATGAACATTGCAACGAATTGAGCAGCGGAAATGATAGAAACAGCCAAAGAGGAATTTTTGACTTCTTGGATGTTGAAGCGAACTTTCAAATTGAAACTTTTCGGTTTTGCTCGTCGAAAGCTACTGATAATTAGAATATTCGCAATTAGACAAAATAGTGATAACACGAAATAGAAGCCAAGGGCATATCTGGAAAATTGGGGACCTTAAAGTTAGCTTAAACGTTTTTGATAACAATTCAAGTTTGTTTTCTTCGACCCGATCTTTCTCGGTTGTTATAAAAGATACCAGAAAGTGGTCAACTAATAAAATGTTATTGATATTATGATAAACATTTTATTAGTTGACCACTTTCTGATATCTTTTTTAGAAATCGAGGTAATTAAGCTTAAAGTTGCAAGTATAGGGTGGCCTTCTATTAGAGTGTTTACGGTATGTCCTCTTTGACCCTAATTATCTGGGTTTCTATAAAAGATATCAAAATTTTGCCAACTGACAAAATGCTATTGATATTATGATAAATATTTTATCAGTTGAAAACTTTTTGATATCTCTTATGGGATAATTGTGCTTGAATTGGATCACTGATCTGCCGGCCGCCTAGCGGCACTAAGCGACACAATGTACCACCAAACTTACAGTACTCGATCCAATGGAATGTCCCTTTGCATAAAGCACGACTGAAGCTTATAAGTCGTCGTTGGACCCTCCGAGTAGCTGTACGTATTCATCATAAACGCAAAAATGACAACCAACACATTTAAAATGTATCCCTGATATTGGAAATGTTTTGATGAAGCCACCATGGTGTATATCCTGTCAATGATTCTAAATTTTTTGAGAGAATATAAGAAATTTAATCAAAAAGTTCTAACCTTTCAATTGTCAGAGCTCCTTGAATAAAAATCATGAGCATTTTGGCGGCTCCAACGGTCCAGGTGACTGCGAAGCACTCGTAGCCAGTGAATGTGATGTGCGAGAGGTCCGTGGAATGGACCAGAGAGCGGTAGAGAGACCAGGACTAAAAAATTAGTTTGCCTAAGATGTTGGGCATTTCAAAAAGGTCTTTTTTGTTTTCAAAATGTTTGAAAATGTCAGTTTTGAAGCAAGATACCGTAAACCCTCTGATAGAAGGGACCTTATAGTTTGCGATCTTCGGTTTCTAAAACAGATATCGAAAATTTGTCAACTGATGTTATAAAATGTTTATCATTATATCACTAACATTTTATTTGTTAAAATTTTTTCGATATCTTTCACAGGGACCAAAATAGATGAGTGTCTCTGTCTGTGTTTCTGTTTTTCCCTTGTCTGACTATCCTTTGGCATTTCCAACGCTTCCTTATACTCCTAGACTCTATGTCTTTGTTTTTCACTAATCCCTAATTTCCCTAATTACGCTTAAAATTATTACTCATCAGATTTTTTTTCTCTCATCGTCTGAAAGGGATTTGAGAAAACAAGAAAAGTCATTGGGAATTTTCTGTTCTTTTGGTTTTGTGGATCATGAAAACAAAAAGTGATCGTACAATATTCAAACTAAATTTTACGAAAGTTGTCCCAAAATGAGAAAAAATTTGAAAAAATTGGAAATATTGAAATGTTGATTAATTGTTCAGGAAATATGGAGTAAATTCGAAGCCATTTTAGTATCATTATCTCAGCTTCAGTAAAAAATATTAAAAATCAGTCGACTGATAAAATGATAGTGATATTACGATAAAAATTTATCAGTTGACAGATTTTAAATATTTTTTATACGAATCGAAATGATTACGCTCATAATACAAGAACCTATCTATCATAGGTGTAGGTTGCTTTTTCTAAAATTGGATTTTTTAAGCTCAATTATCTCGGTTTCTTCAAAAGATCATTACTAATAACATTCACCAGATTCTGTATATGCGTATGTATGTAGCGCACCTTGCCACCCATTCAAAGTTAACCGATCAAGCTGAAACCTGATCAGAATTGTGTCTTAGTTGATGCCCGAACTTTTGTTTTTTCGAAATTGTAATTTTGAAGCCTTCTGGAGACGTTCCTTGGTTTCACCTCAGTAAAGGGTGGTAGAAAGGGCAAACTACAAGTATAGAGTAGCATTTTCTTTGGTAGTACTGTACCTGCAAAAATCCGTAGCTGATCGCGTGAAAATCTGCATAGAGAATGCTCATGAAGAGCAACTGGCGGGTGGATTTGTGGAATACACTTCGAAGATAGAGAAGGTTGAACGCCTGAAGTAAAAAATGCAGTTTTTTTATTTGTCTCGCTCTTGACAAGGCCGGTTTGGTTACGGTACTTCTGGCTTTGGTTACGGTACTTCTGGCTGGACGGTGCTAGAAATTTCTGGGTTGCTAGTACTCTAAGCTTATTTCCGAAGGAACATATGGTTTGGTCCATGGCAACGCACACTGGTTAGGTGACATCTTGGGTGGGGCAAATCATTCGGAGGGTAAAAAAATTTTGGGGTCATTGGAGTACAAAGTAATTCCTGGGTACAAAATTATCAATTCAGGGGTACATGCAATTGGGTGGCTATGGTGGCTATGATACCACCTTGGGTGACTACCGTACTCCTTTGATAGACTATCAGACATTCTCTACCGCGGCTCCTTACCTGAATCGACACCAATATGGTTAGCACACAAATTGAAATTTGAAACATTGCATTAGCTCGATACAACAATGAAGTACGTGCATAGAGTGTAGTTTCAGTGTCGTTGAGCATTCTCCAGAATCCTAGACGTCTTCAGAATGAAGGCGTTGGAAAATATTATGCATTGTTACTCATCCCCAGTGGAGGCGTGTCGTGTCTAGGCAGACAGGTCGGCTGATAAATTTATAATCAGTGTTTTTATCACGTAAACGGAGGGTCTCCGGAGAATGGGAAATAAGAAAAATAGAGGGGATAAAATAATTGGCAGTTCGATGAACAGTAAAATGGTAATAATTTGGTAAAGAAGATAAAATGAAGATTTTTTTCTGAGAACAAAATTTTTTTGGGTAGGAAACTGCCCAAATTTCAAAGTTTCCAAAAATGTTCCTCATAAAAATTACTATTTTCTCCCAAAATCACCTGCAAAGAAGACTAAAAATAAATCATAAGCAAAGACGGAAATTGCTGAAATTGATCATATTTAAGTCATACATCTCTACCCATTGCTTTCAGGTGATTCATCGTAATTTACTGGGAGAACAAAGACTAAAAATCATTTTTAGAAGTTTTGAAAAAAAATTTATGTGATTTTTTTTTCATTTTTTGGAGTTTGTGACGGATGTAGGATCTCTAAATTACTTGAAAAAATCGAATTTGATTTTTCTTTAAATTAGGATTACGGACCCTGTTTTAAACATTAGGATTACTGTAATTTAAAAAAATTAGGATTACTGTAATTTAAAAAAATTAGGATTACTGTAATTTTTTTAAAGTAGGACTGTGAGTTTCAATAATTAGGCTCATTGTATAATTGCCGAAACATTCTTTATCAAAATTTGAAAATTCAGAAATTCAGAAATTCCGAAATTCGGAAATTCAGAAATTCAGAAATTCAGAAATTCCGAAATTCCGAAATTCGGAAATTCAGAAATTCAGAAATTCAGAAATTCAGAAATTCAGAAATTCAGAAATTCCGAAATTCTAAAATTCGGAAATTCAGAAATTCAGAAATTCAGAAATTCAGAAATTCAGAAATTCAGAAATTCAGAAAATTCAGAAAATCAGAAATTCAGAAATTCAGAAATTCAGAAATTCAGAAATTTAGAAGTTCAGATATTTAGAAATTTAGAAATTCAGAAATTCAGAAATGAAAATTGTTAAAATTGGCAGAAAATTTCAGAAAAGGAGAAAATAAGAAAATCAAATCCTATTCAAGGGTTGGAAGCATTTTTTTCTAATCGGCAAAATTTTTATGCCAATTTTCAGTCCAAAAACCTTATCAGTATTTTTTTGTTTTGGTATTATTTTATTTTTCTTTTCTCCCCCACCTACTAATTCTATACAAAACAAAAAAAGTGTTCCAGGAAAGCGAATTATTGAGAAAAGTGAGACCAAATTTTTCTTTCTCGCTTTAAAAACTTGATTTAGGGACTTTGGGAATTCCAAAAACAAAACCTGGAGTTCAGTAATTCCGAAATTCAGAAATTCGGAAATTCAGAAATTCAGAAATTCAGAAATTCAGAAATTCAGAAATTCAGAAATTCAGAAATTCAGAAATTCAGAAATTCCGAAATTCAGAAATTTTGAAGTCCAGAAATTCCGAAATTGGAATTCTTTTGGAAGTTCAAAAAACATTTTTTTCTAACTGAGGAATTGAAAAAGAAACAAGCAAAAAAAGATTTTTAATTTGTTTTCTGAAATTCGAATTCTCGAGAAAATGCTCAAAAAATAGGTTTGGAAATTAAAGGAAAAGTAGACGAAATTCAAAAAAAATCTGGAAAAAAAACTAGGAATTCAAAAAAAATTAAAAATCAGAAACTTAGAAATGCAGGATTCCAGAAAATTGAAAAATATTGGAAAATTGTCTGAAATTCCAAAACAAGCAAAAACTTCATTTTTTTAAGAATATGATTTTTTTTAAACTGAAATTTCTAGCTCCAACTGTTTGACAATTTATTAAAATATGATTCTTGGGTGAAGGATTCTTTGATGACGTGATTGATACGTCGCTTCCGACGATTCCCGATCCACTGAATGAAGAATGAAATTTGAATTGGCACTAATAACTCGAGTAGGGAGTTGTCTGAAAAGAGATTTGGTGATCTTTGGGGCAGAATAAGGACAATGATTTTTGAAAATTACTGGGCACTTTTATTATGACATGAGAGCTCAAAATATAATAATCTAGGAGATCGAAACTCAAAAATTCAAAAAAAAATTTCAAAAAGTCGAAATAGTTCAAAACAGTCTAGGAGGTCACAAGTTGGAAATTCAAAAAAAAAACAAATCAAATTTTTTGAAATATTAATTTTTTAAAACCTAAAAGCTCTAATAAATTTGCAAAATTCATAATTTCAGATAAGTGAAATCACGATTGAGTTGAAATTTAGGTTTCCCGAGAAGATCGGACTTTTCGGATTGGTTAAAGTTTTGACTTTTCGAAAATCCGATAATTTGTAAATTGGAAAATGGGAATTTCGGAAATCCAGAAGTCCTAAAAATATTTCGAAGTCTGGAAATTCGGAAATTCGGAACTTCACAACTTCAGAAATTCAGAAGTTCAGAAATTCAGAAATTCAGAACTTCACAACTTCAGAAGTTCAGAAATTCAGAAATTCAGAAATTCAGAAATTCAGAAATTCAGAAATTCAGAAATTAAGAAATTCAGAAATTCAGAAATTCAGAAATTTAGAAGTTCAGAAATTCAGAAATTTAGAAGTTCAGATATTTAGAAATTTAGAAATTCAGAAATTCAGAAATTCAGAAATTCAGAAATTCAGAAATTCAGAAATTCAGAAATTCAGAAATTCAGAAATTTAGAAGTTCAGAAATTCAGAAATTCAGAAACTCAGAAATTCATAAATTCAGAAATTCAGAAATTCAGAAATTCAGAAATTCAGAAATTCAGAAGTTCAGAAATTCAGAAATTCAGAAATTCAGAAATTCAGAAATTCAGAAATTCAGAAATTCAGAAATTCAGAAATTCAGAAGTTCAGATATTCAGAAATTCAGAAATTCAGAAATTCAGAAATTCAGAAATTCAGAAATTCAGAAATTCAGAAGTTCATAAATTCAGAAATTCAGAAATTCAGAAATTCAGAAATTCAGAAATTCAGAAATTCAGAAATTCAGAAATTCAGAAATTCAGAAATTCAGAAATTCAGAAATTCGAAAATTCAGAAATTCAGAAATTCAGAAATTCAAAAATTCAGAAATTCAGATATTCAGAAATTCAGAAATTCAGAAATTCAGAAATTCAGAAATTTAGAAGTTCAGAAATTCAGAAATTCAGAAATTCAGAAATTCAGAAATTCAGAAATTCAGAAATTTAGAAGTTCATAAATTCAGAAATTCAGAAATTCAGAAATTCAGAAATTCAGAAATTCAGTAATTCAAAAATTCAGAAATTCAGAAATTCAGAAATTCAAAAATTCAGAAATTCAGATATTCAGAAATTCAGAAACTCAGAAATTCATAAATTCAGAAATTCAGAAATTCAGAAATTCAGAAATTCAGAAATTTAGAAGTTCAGAAATTCAGAAATTCAGAAATTCAGAAATTCAGAAATTCAGAAATTCAGAAATTCAGAAATTCAGAAATTCAGAAAATTGAGAAAAAAGTCGAAGTTTCCGATTTTTCATTTTTTGGATGTTCGAAATATCAAAAATTGAGGATTTCAAAATTTTTTCGAAATTTTTTCGAAAACCTAATGATTCAGAAAAAAACTCACATAAAACCATCTCAACAAATTTGCACTTCCCAATTCCTGATTCGTTTTCGACATCTCCTGTAGAACATACATACTAATCGTATAAATAAAAGTGACCAATAATTGAAGGAGCGAATTCAAAGAAACCGCCAAAAGCGAATAATGCTGTTCCACTTTGAGATACTTTGATTTCAGATCGAATGAGCTGTGTTTCCGATCATTCCAAGTGTACCACATCATAAAACAGTCCAATAGAGCGCAAGATGCAGATAGAATTGTATAGGAAGTTAGGTTGGTTCTGAAAACATTGGAAGTTTAGGAATATCGACTTTTAAAATTTTTTAAAATGTTATCGTAGTTTTGTTCAGACATTCTGGAGTAGTTGAACTTGTGGGTCCACCGTTGGAGGTGCAACGGCATTACCAGCTGAGCTACGGTGGCGCCAGCTATCCGGCTGACCGTTCACTGTACAGCGCCATGCCAAAATGCATACCGTAACCCCAAAAAAACTCACGATCTCAAGTTTATCGTAATATCTGTCTCTCGAAAACAGCTCGTCGTTGTGATTCCCTTATACGGATAACCCTCAATATGAAGTATCCAGCCGAGTGCAAATGAACCAATGACCTAGAAAAAATTAACTGGTCTAGAAAACCAAAAAAACCTAGCTTACCGCTATTATATTTAAGACTTCGCCTCGAATCGTTGGATAGCAATGTGTATACTTTCGAAACAGTATTACAATCACTCTGAAAACACACTTTTATAAATTAGGTACTGTAATTTAAAAATATAATTATTTCGATTTTTGTAGCTCATCCAAAGAATATCAATCGAGCTCAAATTTAGGTCATTGCCCAAAATTTTATTTTTTTCGAAATTCTGAATTTCAAGACTTTTCGGAACCTTTTTCGCTTTCACCACTGTAACCGCGAGGGGCCAGAAAGAGAAGGAAAGCCCGGTGCGATCAGTGGTGTAGTGGATAGTGGGCTACGCTTTTGCCGGCACGACCCCGGTTCGAGTCTGGTCGGTGGCAAATTATTTTTTTTTAAATGTTTACCTATCAGCATTAAGTGCCAGTTCAATTGCAATGTACAAAAATCGAAGGCATGAATTTGTGATGTGCAGAAGAACGCAGTCCTCGTTGGTGAACATGATATTAATCGAGTCGGTTGAGTAGTAGTAGGAACGGTATAGAGACCAGGTCTGGAAAATTTTGAATTTGGAATAATTCAAATTTACGAACTATAGTCAAAAAGAAAAAAAATAAAAAATAAAAGTTGCCATGCGCCGGACTCGAACCCCCGCCGCATGGGCGAAAGCGTAGTGCTCTAGCCACTACACCACGGGATACAAAAGCGAGACGATGAGAGATGGCGTATACAATCCCGGTGTTTTCTCTCTTCTTCTTGCTCTCTAGGTGGTGGGTGGGAAAGGCTTGTTGCTCTAACTAATCCGTGGTTCTGAAATGTCAAAGTTCTAAAATGGCACATACCTCTATAATAGTGTAATTAGCATTATGAACATTTCCATAGACCAAACTAGCCATGAGTAAATGAGTGATAGATTTGTTGAAAATTTGTTTGGCTCGTAGTTGGCGAATTGTCTGAAAAATTAGAGTTGCCTTCAGCTTAAAAGCTTTGAACCATCAGAATATTGTTAGTTTTTCAGATTTTGTTCTCAAAATTTAAGTTTTCTCCTAGTTTTGGCTCAAAATAAGGCCTTTTAAACGTTACCTTTCAGGGTTTTTAGGCTTCAAAGGTTTCTAAAAAGTTTTTTAGGTCAACTCACAAAAATCGATAAAAGCAACGAGACCAAACAGACCAGATCAATATAAATGACATAGAATCGAAACTGCGTAGCTGTGCGCAAATTCAAAATATCCGAAGCTGATACGAATATCGGGGTGAACGCATTTTCAGAGTAGTCTTCCATTGCTTCGCCGAACTTATTAAGTTTGGAGTTGTTGGTGGAGCTCCTGGGAAAATTTTAGATTAACAGATGAAGAAAAAAGGCTGGTGACGTTAGAGAATTTTAGAAAAAAAAGGAAGAGGGCGGGGGAATGTGTTCAAATTATATGCCTAGCAATACCGATCAATTATCACTATGTCTGATGAAGTGTGGTGAAAGTTTTTTTTTCTTATTCAATTCAAAATTTTTTCTAACAATATTTTTAAAACTCAAACTTACAAAAAAATTCCAAATTTCTCAATCAATATCTGATTTTTGCAGATTTTCATCATGATTTTCAGCTTCAGCATCAAAAACAACCCCTAGAAGCGCTTTTTTGGGCGTTTCAGGTTACTGTAGTTTCATTTCTGGATTTTACGACGAAGTGCAGAAAAAAATTTTAAAGGTGGGGGGACATGAAAAAAAGAATGTTCTCGAAATTCATTTTAAATATGCCCCTCGAGGAGTTGAACTTGTCGAGGCTAGGATTGAGGGCGCGGCGCCGTTACCGACTGAGCCACGCGGGCAAAGAGGAAGCGGCCACCCGATTGCATCCATAAAGGTGAGGACGACAGCTGTACGCAGAGTGACATTAAGCGTTGTACACCGTCACGGTAGAATGCATACTCTAGCTACAAAAAAACTACGAAAAATCTCCTGTCCCCCCACCTGTAAGCCAAAAAAAAAGTTTTTCATGGTAAAATAGTGTGTGGAAGAGGAATTTGTGTAAGAAAAGCTCTGAAAATGATAAGAAAAGTCTGAAATTTCTGAAAATTCAGAAAAATTCCATGTTTCACAAGCAAGCTTTGATTTTTATAAATTTTCACTATGATTTTGAGCTTCAGCATCGAAAACTACCCACAGAAGCGTTTTTTTGCGCATTTCAGGTTACTGTAGTTTCGTTTCTGTGCAAACACCGGATTTTACGACAAAGTGCAGAAAACATTTTTTGGAGCCAAAAAGGAGATTTTAGAGGTAAAAAAGTGTGGGAAAGCCGAATTTGAATATGAAAATGTATAAAAATGAGCGGAAAAGTTTGAAATTTCAGAAATTTCAGAAAAAGTCCATTTTTCACAAACAATCTTTGATTTACATAAATTTTCATTATGATTTTCGGCTTCAGAATCAAAAACTACCTCTGGAACAATTTTCCCCTAGTCTCTGGCACCGTTTTAGCGAATTTCAGGCTACTGCAGTTTCGTTTTTGTGCAAACACCGGATTTTACGACAAAATGCAGGAAAATTTTAAAATTCCAAAAAAAAAGCTTTTAGGAGTAAAAAGGTGTGTGGAAGCTGAAGTTAAGAAAAAAAACTTCTGAAAAAGAGCGGGAAAGGCAGAAATCCCCAAAAATTCAGAAAAAGTCCAGTTTTATCAAATAACCACTCGTTTTTGCAAAATTTCAGTATGATTTTCGAATCCAACTTCAAAAACTACACTTAAACACTTTGTTTTGTTCAACTAGCTATGCAAATGCGCTCTATTGATAAAGGGGCGTGGCCGTAGCCAAATTGATGGCTGAGGATCAAACGTTTGATCCCTCAGCCATTTCGTTGTCTGCGTCTCTTCACCGAAATATCGTCTCTTCACCGAAATGTTCTGCGTCTCTTCGCCGAAACAAGATCTCTAGTTTTAAGGGAGTATTTTTTCATTTTTTGAAAATTTGAAAAAGCTTCGCCCCGCCCCCTTATCAATAGAGCGAGCTTGCAAAGATGGAAAAAACCCTGTGCTTAAAACGTTTTCTTGCAACATATAGCGCCGCATTAGCGAATTTCGGGCTACTGTAGTTTCGTTTTTGTGCAAACACCGGATGTTACGACAAAATGCAGAAAAAATTTTTTGAAGCCAAAAAAGAGTTTTTAGGGGTAAAAAAGGTGCGAAAAGGTCGAATTAAAGTACGAGAATATTTGAAAACGAGCAAGAAAGTCAGAAATCTCTACATATTCAGAAAAAGTCCAGTTTTATCAAATAACCACTCGGTTTTGTAAAATTTCAGTATAATTTTCGAATCCAACTTTAAAACCTACGCCTGAAAACGTTTTTTTCTAACATCTAGCTTGGTTTGGTGCATTTTGAGTTACTGTAGTTTCGTTTTTGTGCAAACACCAGATTTTACGGCAAAGTGCAGAAAACATTTTTTGAAGCCAAAAAAAGAGATTTTAGGGGTAAAAAAGTGTGGGAAAGCCGAATTTTAATACGAAAATTTCTGAAAATCAGCGGGAAAGTCAGAAACCTGCATGCAACAAAAATTAATAATCTCTTAAAGTACTGCCAATTGTCTAGAGAAAACGACAGATCACAGAAACCACAGAAATCTTATGCGTCACAAAAAATCGCATTTTTGAAAGAGAGGGGAAATTGGGTTAAAAGAGGGAAATTTGGGAAATTTCTGGAAGTTTCTACATATGTATACACCCAAATTGGCTAACAAAATGAATAAAGGGAAATGAAAAACCAGCAACAAACTTTACCTCATGTTTTTTCTCTTTTTTTTTGGCCTGCTGAAAGTTTATAGTCTGGAATTTCTAGAAATTTGTTTTTGGCGATTCGAGAAAAAAATGAGGACACTCATTCATTGGGCACAATTATTTTTCAGCTCACTGGTTTTGTAGGCGATGTGATTCAAATACGAAAATTTTTGATTTTTTTTGAAGGTGGGGGGACAGAAGATTTTTCGGAGGATTTTTGGAGTTAGGGTATGCATTCTACCGTGACGGTGTACAACGCTTAATGTCACTCTGCGCACAGTTGTCGTCTCGCCTTTATGGATGCAATCGGGTGGCCGCTTCCTCTTTGCCCGCGTGGCTCAGTCGGTAACGGCGCCGCGCCCTCAATCCTAGCCTCGACAAGTTCAACTCCTCGAGGGGCATATTTAAAATGAATTTCGAGAAAATTATTTTTTTTTCATGTCTCCCCACCTTTAAGAAACAATTTCAGAAAATCAGAAAAATCAAAACCTAGAAAAAAAAATTTTAGACCCGAAGGTCCAGCCTGTTGTTTTTGAGGAGCTGATGTCTTGGTAACAAAAAAAGAAGACGATTCGCGGAAAAATAAAAAAATTACTAGTTTCCCACACTTGTACCCTTTGGTTTTGTCCGTTTTTCTTTTCGAAAACAAAAATTGAGTTTTGGCAGTATTCCTGATTGTCATAGGGTTTTAAAACATGTAAAAAGAATTAAACACTCTGAAAATACCTAGAATTTCCTTTTTCCCTAGGGAAATCCATCGAAAATCAATCGGGAAGCTTAATTTTCCATTTCTCCTTAAGCCCCGCCCTCTTCACACGTAAAGCATAGCGGGCGGCGGAACCCGGGAGATGTCGGTACATGCGGCAGTTTGGTTGCAACCCCGGGCCCCGCATGTGCGGGCAGCCCCCCGCATATGCGGGGGGCCCAGTAAAGTGGGGGGCACTACCGTCCACTTTATCGGGTTATTTTTGTATTTCCCCCCCCCCGCATGTGCGGGGCCCGAAGAATAGCACACAGCTATCGAATATGACTTTGCTCAAAATCTTAATTTTTGAAACTTCTTTTTCGGTGTTTCCGGAGAGCTTACAGAATACGAAAATAGTATTTTTATACAGACAAACAGTGCAACCTCAGATTCTTAATTTTGAAATATCTCATTTTTTCAAAAAGTGATACGATACAGACGAAGAAATTTTAGTAATCAAGATAAAAAACGGGGTAAAAGTTTTGTGTATGAAGGAGAATCAAGTTCAAAAACAAGAAAGCCAAACCCTGAAATTATTTGAAAAATTACTGGTTTTCTCAAACTTTTGTTCTTTTGATTTGAAATCCAAAATTTGGATTTTCCGAAAACAAATTATTTAGACGAATGCATTTTCAGCATTTCCAGCGTAAAACTCGTCTTTTTTTCACCCCGAAAATTTTTTTTCCTTCCGAAATACATCAAAAACCACCTATTCTCCCATGCCCTCGTTTACTGGTTCATTTTTGCCCCGTAAGGTGCAGGGCCCTCAGTTCACCTAGATTAATAGAACAAAAAACTCTAGTTTCCCACACTTGTACCCTTTGGTTTTGTTCGTTTTTCGTTACGAAAACAAAAATTGAGTTTTGGACATTTTCCTGGCTCCCTGAAAGGTTTTTGAAAATGTAAAACAGATTTATTGTCGGAATTGTAAAACTGCGACCTCGGTCTATGCATGCTCAGTACAATTTTTTCCCGGAGAAAAACCATCGAAAACCTATCGAAAACAATTTCTTCTATGTACCACTAAGCCCTGCCCACTTTGCACACAAAACATAGCGGGCGGCGGAACCCGGGAGATGTCGGTACATGCGGCAGATGTAGTCGCCGCCGCTCGCTGCTCAGTTTGGTTGCAACCCCGGGCCCCGCATATGCGGGGGAGTGCCCGCATGTGCGGGGGGCCCAGTAAAGTGGGGGGCACTACCGCCCACTTTATCGGGTTATTTTTGTATTTCCATGCGGCAGGGGTAGTCGCCGCCGCTCCCTACTCGCTTTGGAAAGACCCGCGCCCCGCATAGTTATGGGCGACTTGGCCCATAAAAGTGGGCGCGTTCCGTCGTCCCCCGACGGAGTACGCCCACTTTTACGGGTTTTTTTTTGTTTTTGCCCCGTAAGTTGCGGGGCTCACCAAGATTAGTACACAATTTCGACCTGGTAAGTTGACAATGTCAACTACAAACGTTTTTTTTTCATGAAAACTCTAGCAAAATTGCCGCATTTTTTATCGGGTTCTATAGAAATTCAAGATGATGCAAGAGTTTTAAAATTTTAATTAGCGGTTTTAAAATCATATGTGGTCCTTTTTCTCTCTCAATTTCTTCGAAGTTCTATAGCTGAAAAGAGCCTCAAAATTTAGTTCTTCATCGGATGTTTTGATCAAACAGTGCGATTCAGATTCTTCGAGATATATAAAAAATTTAGAAATCAAACTAAATTTGATCATTCCAGAAAACATTTTTTTGATTTCTCGAAAAAAAACTTTTTTCTGAAACAAATAACCACTTTTCCAGACTTTCAATCTTTTTGGCTTTTCCTGCGTCCCCGTCATCTTTTTTAACCCCAAAACTTTTCCCACTCGAAATCCATCGAAAAACTCCTACTTCCCATTTCCCACTAAGCCCCGCCCACTTTGCACACAAAACATAGCGGGCGGCGGAACCCGGGAGATGTCGGTACATGCGATAGGTGTAGTCGCCGCCGCTCGCTCTTCTCTTCGGTTTTAACCCAAGTTAACCAAGGTTAGCATTGAATTTCGACCTTTCGGTAAAACGATTGTGTTGAGAATCGTTCAATTTTTGGAACTGCTTCTTCGGGGTATCCGGGGAGGCGAAAAGAGTTTTTTGTCCTTGTTTTCTTTTTCCCATCTAAACTAATTATCCAGTGTGTCATCTTTGACTCTAAAAATATATAGTGTCTGAAAAAAAAACAAACACATATATATGCGTAATCTAATTTGACCCCTGATCTATCATCTCTTTTTCCCGAAAAGATGTTTTTATATATATTTTGCTTGGCAGTTTTCCGAACTCATCATGTCCTATTCTAGAGAAGAAAAAATACTTTTATTTTCAGAAAAGAGAGAATTTGTTTTGACATTTTTTTTTCCCGGCGGAGGAAAAACTGCATCCCGTTTTGTTGTTTTCCTGGAATTTTTTCCCTTTTTCAGACAAGTTTCCCTCCTTCATTTCAGTTTTTTTTTCTTTACTCATTGCTCAGCTTTGAATTGAGAGTGACACCTTTAGAAGGTCTTTGGTCAGATAGGTAAAGTGATTTTTGATTTGTAAAAAAATATTTTTTGAACAATAGATCCTTGATAAACAATTCTGGTCTAGAAAATCAAATTACTTTGAGTTTTAACTTTTAGAAAATTCGGGTTTTGATAAAAATCTAGGATTTCCGAATTTCTGAATATCCAAATTTTCAGAATTTCAGAATCTCAGAATCTCAGAATCCCAGAACCTCAGTATCTTTCTGAATTTCTGAATTTTCAAATTTTCACATGTTTCAAATCTGTAGTTTTTGTAGTCTGAACCCCCAACTTTCTTGTTTTCTTATCACTGATTACGTAGTATAACGTCTCTGAGGCGACCAAAAAAATTGATTAGTTAATCTTGTGTGTGTGTGTGTGCTCAAAAACAAGAAGAAATTATTAATATTTTTTTCAGTTTTTGTGTTCCACCAAATTATACAGGAAACCTTATTCAGACTTGGTGACTAATTGTAAGCTGAAATTGATTTCAAAAAAACTGGAATAAAGTTTTTTTTGAAATTACAAAAAAAAATATTTCTGGGAATCTCGAAAATCAATAGTTAAGAAAAATTTGGAAGTTCTCAAAAATTCAAATTCTCTAAAATTCCAAGAAATCTAAAAATATGAGAGATCAATGATCAAGAAAAGAACCATTGATAATGGGAATCCGGATTCCTGAATTTCTGAATTTCCGAATTTCTGAATTTCTGAACTTTTGGAATTTCTGAATTTCTGAATTTCCGAATTTCTGAATTTCTGAACTTTTGGAATTTCTGAATTTCCGAATTTCTGAATTTCTGAATTTTTGAATTCTTGAATTTCTGAAAAATTGATTTTTTTCCAAATTTCTGGATTTCTGATTTTTCGTGTTTTGATCCTTTACCAATTTGCTCATTGCTCATGTGACAAAGTATACAAATTTATATATAGTCGCTAATCCTTTATCTCTTATTTTCTAATCTTTTTATTTTTCTCCCCAATGTATTGTCCTGAAATTCGAGTTTCCCTGAAATGTACACATCAGACTTAAAGGAGGTGAGACAGCAAACATTTCGGGGGCAGTTCGGGGGACGAAATCGCGCCGCGCTTATGAAGACCATCGGTCGTCAGGCGCCTTCGCGCCCCCGTAGCTCAACCGGTAGCGGTGCTGTACCCCTGAGCTGCCTGTCATGAGTTCAACCCCTCATGGGGGTTCTCTATGCAAAATATCAGGAAAACTTTTTTTTTTGGTGTCTGGCCTCCATTAAAAATTTCGAAAAATAAAAGTTCAAAAATTCGAGAATTCCGAAAAAATCCATAAATGTCCTCACAAGCCAAAATTCAGAAATATCAGTACTTCAGAATTTTAGAATTTTAGAATTTTAGAATTTTGGAATTTTAGAGTTTCGAAATCTCGGAATCTCAGAATTTCAGAATCTCAGAATTTCCGAATCTCCGAATCTCAGAATCTCAGAATCTCAGATTCTCCGAATCTCAGAATCTCAGAATCTCAGAATCTAAGAATCTTAGAATATCAAAATCTTAGAATTTCAAAATCTGAAAATCTGAAAACTTCTAAGTTTCAGAATTTCAGACTCTAAGATTCTAAGAATCTAAACTTTCTAAAATTCGGGTTTTCCCATATTTTTTTTCTCTATGCTCGATTAATGCTCCCTCCCTCTCTCCAGCTCCCCATATATTCTAAATATCATCATTTTTTTTTTCTATAATAAGCACATCTTCAATTTTTGCCAGTCATCAGTCAAAAATGGGGGAGGAAACTCTTCTTCTTTTTTCTTTTTCTGCCGATTGGATTAAAAATAAGAGTCCGAGAGGGGCTCTTTTCCCCCGGATACTTTCTCTCCGCCGGAAGTGGGCGGAGCCTAGAAAGAATCCCTATTTTCTCTCTCTCTCTCTCTCTCTCTCTCTCTCTCTCTCTTTCGTGGAATCTTTGATGCCTATCTCCATACATTTATTCCCGCTTCATTTGATGAAAGAATGTTTTGTATGTCTTCTTTTTTTTGTTATTCTGAAATACTGAGATTCTGAGATTCTGAGGTCCTTAGATTCTTAGATTCTAAGATTCTGAGATTCTGAGATTCTGAGATCCTTAGATTCTGAAATTCTGAGATTCTGAGATTTTGAGATTCTGAGATCCTTAGATTCTTAGATTCTTAGATTCTGAAATTCTGAGATTTTGAGATTCTGAGATTCTGAGATTCTGAGATCCTTAGATTCTTAGATTCTAAGATTCTGAGATTCTGAGATTCTAAGATTCTGAGATTCTGAGATCCTTAGATTCTTAGATTCTAAGATTCTGAGATTCTGAGATTCTGAGATTCTGAGATTCTGAGATTCTGAGATTCTGAGATAATTAGATTCTCAGATTCTGACATTCTGAAATTCTAAGATTCTAAGATTCTGAGATTCTGAGATTCTGAGATTCTGAGATTCTGAGATCCTTAGATTCTTAGATTCTTAGATTCTGAGATTCTGAGATTCTGAGATAATTAGATTCTCAGATTCTGAGATTCTGAAACTCTAAGATTCTAAGATTCTGAGATTCTGAGATTCTGAGATTCTGAGATTTTAAGATTCTGAGATCCTTAGATTCTTAGATTCTAAGATTCTGAGATTCTGAGATTCTAAGATTCTGAGATTCTGAGATCTTTAGATTCTGAGATTCTGAGATCCTTAGATTCTTAGATTCTAAGATTCTGAGATTCTGAGATTCTGAGATTCTGAGATTCTGAGATAATTAGATTCTCAGATTCTGACATTCTGAAATTCTAAGATTCTAAGATTCTGAGATTCTGAGATTCTGAGATTCTGAGATCCTTAGATTCTTAGATTCTTAGATTCTGAGATTCTGAGATTCTGAGATAATTAGATTCTCAGATTCTGAGATTCTGAAACTCTAAGATTCTAAGATTCTGCGATTCTAGATTCTGAGATTTTAAGATTCTGAGATCCTTAGATTCTTAGATTCTTAGATTCTGAGATTCTGAGATCCTTAGATTCTTATATTCTTAGATTCTGAAATTCTGAGATTTTGAGATTCTGAGATTCTGAGATTCTGAGATCCTTAGATTCTTAGATTCTAAGATTCTGAGATTCTGAGATTCTAAGATTCTTTCTGAGATTCTGAGATCTTTAGATTCTGAGATTCTGAGATCCTTAGATTCTTAGATTCTGAGATCTTTAGATTCTGAGATTCTCAGATTGTGAGATTCTTAGATTCTAAGATTTTTAGATTCTGAGATTCTGAGATTCTGAGATTCTGAGATTCTGAGATTCTGAGATTCTGAAAATCTAATTCTGGATTTTCTATTTACAATTTTTCCGATTTCTAAAAGATTGAAAAATTTCCGAAAATAACGTCCAAAGGCATTATTTTCAGAATGAAGACCTTTTTGAACAATTTACGTCAATTTCAGAAAAAATTCCAGAGAAAAAATCTAAAAATTGTATTTTCAGAAAAAAGGCATTTGTCTGAAAATCTGTTGTTCTGCTGTGCACTTTATATTTTCTAAGAAAAAAGTGCATTTTTCATTGGACTTTTCGGATTAAGCAAAAAGAAAGATTTTTGAACTTTTGAAAAAATTCGAATTTTTAGAACAAAAATAGTTCCATTCATCCGTCCATAAAACGATGAGAAACGGAAGTATGACTGGTTTTATGGGATGACGATGTTCTTTTTTGTGGAAAAAATTTCGAAAAAAATATTTTTGGTTTTTAGTTTTCTGAAATATTTTGGGAGATAAGCAAGCAGGTGATAACTTGTGATATGTAATTTAATTTTTTTTTTCAGCTGACTGAATATTTTGAGAATTATATTATATCAAAACTAATCAAGTTGAAGGAGAATTCGTCTGGTTTTTGGTCGATTTTTGGTGAAAAATCAAAATTTTTAGAAATTCGGAAACGCGGAAATTCAGAAATTCAGAAATTCAGAAATTCAGAAATTCAGAAATTTAGAATTTTTTTTAGGATTTCGGATTTTTTGAAAAACTGAAAATCTTTCCCCCTGTGGGCGGAGCTAAAATAAAGTGGGCGGAGCCTAAGAGAAGAAGTCTTACATTCTGTTTTTCTCTGCGTCTCTTTATCTCTATTCCATTAGCTCACATTCTTTTTTTTTTACTTTTTCTTATGCTGCTCCGTATATATATTTTTCCCATTTATGAAAATTAGTTTTTTCCTTTTTTTTTCAATTTTTTTCATAAATTTGTGAATCTTGCTTCTTCCTTTTTTCTCACATATTGCATGTCAATCTTACATTTGTTTTGTGAAAAAAAGAGAAAGAATATTCTATGTTTTCTTGAAAATTGTGGGAAAAATATAAATATCCTTTTTTTTCTTAATTGAAAAAAAATACGAAATTGAAGAATTCCAGAGAATTTTTTCTTCCGGGCAACTTGTCGTTTTTTCCAAGTTTGTGTTCTAGTTTTTTTCTAGCTGAAATTGCTTGAAAAATACTGAATTTTTGGATTTTTTAGATTTTCTGAACTTTTGAATTTCCGAATTTCTGAAATTCTGGAGTTTTTAAGATCTGATATTTGAAGATGAGATTCTGAGATTCTGAGATTCTGAGATTCTGAGATTCTGAGATTCTGAGATTCTGAGATTCTAAGATTCTGAGATTCTAAGATTCTGAGATTCTGAGATTCTGAGATTCTGAGATTCTGAGATTCTGAGATTCTGAGATTCTAAGATTCTGAGATTCAGATTCTGAGATTCTGAGATTCTGAGGTTCTGAGATTCTGAGATTCTGAGATTCTAAGATTCTGAGATTCAGATTCTGAGATTCTGAGATTCTGAGGTTCTGAGATTCTGAGATTCTGAGATTCTGAGATTTGGAAATTCTTAGATTCTGAGATTCTGAGATTATGAAAGTCTGAGATTATGAGATTATGAGATTCTGAGGTTCTGAAATTCTGAATTTTTATGCGTTTTCGATTTTCAGAACTTCTAAAATTTTCAAATTTCTCTTTCGAAGTTTTCTGAAAAATTCGTATTCTGTAACAATGGAAATTCTAAACTCACAGTGAAAAAAAACAAGTTTTACTGAATTTTTCATTCCTCTTTTTTTCTCTTTTCAGCACAGAGGCTGAAAATATAAAATTTTCAAATCCATTCTTTTCTTGGTTTTTAAAATTTATAGCTTTGCGAATTTTCACCTGTTGGTCAAATTTTTCGTTGTTTTTCTGAAAAAAAATTGACAAGTTCTGTCATTTTATTATAGTTTCGGGTCCGAAAGGAGACAGAGTGATTTTATTTAAACCTAGGAATTCTGAAATTCAGAAATTCCAGAATTCTGAAATTCCAGAAATTCAAAAGAAATTCTGGAATTCAGAAATTCGACAATTCAGAAATTCAAAAATTCCGAATTTCTGAAATTAAGGATATCTTGAAAAACCCAAAATTCTAAAAAAATCTGAATTTAATAATATAAAATTCAAGCATTCAAAAATTTAAAAATTTTAGAAATTCAGAAATTCAGAAATTCGAAAATTCAGAAATTCAGAAATTCTAGAATTCCGAAATTCAGAAATTCGAAAATTCAGAAATTCAGAAATGCAGAAATTCAAAAATTCCAAATTTCTGAAATTAAGGATATCTTCTAAAATTCAACAATTTTAGAAGTTCGAAATTTGTTTTTGATTCTGTTGTTTTTGTTAGTTTTTCCAGACTATAGTTCATAGATTCCTCAATAATTTATGCTTCTCGTTTTATTTTCTATTTGTTTTTTCTCGAATCTTTTTTTGAATCTCCCTCCAGAAGAACAGAAGAATAGAACGACTAAAATTTCTAGTTTGCGTGTCTTCTTCTTCTTTTCTCCCACTTTTTTGGTGTTTTTTAGTTGGTTGGCTATATATTTTCTAGCCTAGAAGATTCTAGAAGATTCTGTATAAAAAGAAAAATGTACGAATGAATTAATCGAAGTTGGGGGAGAGGGAAGAGCCCGGAAATGAGCAAAAGAAAGTAGATCAATTATTTTTAATTACTTTTTATTGTTGTTATAGTGAGGAATGGGGATCTGTAAGGGTTTCGGCTCAAATTTCTGAATTTCTGAATTTCCGATTTTCCAATTTTCGAAGTCCAGAATTTCTGAATCTGGAACTTTTTGATTTTCCGAATTTATGAATTTTTAAATTTCTGTATTCCTAGATTTTTTGGATTTCTCAACTTCCAAATTTCTGAATTTTTAAAATTGAAATTTTTGAAATTAAAGAAAAACTGATCATTTGAATTTTTGGGATTTCAGATTTCACTATTTATTGGACTTTTTAAAGGTGGGGGGACATGAAAAAAAGAATGTTCTCGAAATTCCGTTCAAAGATGCCCCTCGAGGAGTTGAACTTGTGAGGGCGATGATTGAGGGTGCGGCGCCGCTACCGACTGAGCCACGCGGGCAAAGAGAAAGCGCACGCCCGATTGCATACATAAAGGCGAGGACGACAGCTGTACGCAGAGTGACATTAAGCGTTGTACACCGTCACGGTAGATTGCATACTCTAGCTACAAAAAAACTACGAAAAATCTCCTGTCCCCACCTTTAAATTTTTTTTCGTGATTTCCAAACAGACCAAAACACACATTTTCCCACGACCTGATAGATCATTAACGACCCGGATAGAAGTGACTTATTCTAAAATAAATTGAGAGAAAAAAAATGATGTGAGGGTTTTCCCAAAAATTTCCTTTTCCCCTTTTTTCCCTCTCTCTGTTCTTTCTCCAGATTTCTGTTTATGCAAATTTCTCAACTTTCCAGACTCAATAAAAATCCAAATCTCCGCCAAAAGAATGGCTTCTCAACAAGATGCTGCTCCACCAACTGGATATAACATGGGGTGGGTCCACAAACTAATTTTCTTAATTTTTATAACTTTATTAATTTTTATAATAAATCTGAAAGCCCGTTTTAAGAACCACATCTTGAAAAAATTTTGAACTTTCTAGCTTCATTTTGAGTCGAGATACGCGCATTCTAAGTAAGGGGGTGAGAGACGCAGACAACGAGAGCGCTCTCGTCGCCTGCGTCTCTCGGTTAATTTCAAATGCCTGTATCTCGGCTTAAAATGGAGCTTGGAAAAAAAAATATTTCGTAAAATATTTCGTAAAATGTGTCTTTTAAAATGAGCTATTAGATTCACAACGAAAGATGGAATTCCCTGAAATTTTGATTTTCCAGAAAAGAAAAAATTGTATCAGAATTGTATCAGAGGTTTACAGTAAATCTGAAAGCCCGTTTTAAAAGCTACATTTTTCAGAAATTCGAAGCTTCTAGCTCAATTTTAAGCAGAGATACAAGCGTTTCAGTGGAGCAACAAGAGAGACACAGACAACGAAAGCGCTCTCGTCGTCTACGTCTCTCCTCTCTCATCACTGGCTAAAATACGCCATATCTCAGCTCCCAGGAGAGCTAAAAACATGGTCCTTTTTGTAAAAGATAGCGAAAAGTTTGGATTTTCTGAAAATCAAAAATTTAAAGAAGTTGAGTTTTTTCAGACACCGCCACTCGTTGACCATCGAGACCAACCCACTGCACTTGCTGCCATCAAACATGCGACGCTTCTCGCAGGTGAGAACGAACTATAAAATTTTAAAAAATTTTCAATCCAGAGGAAAAATCACTTTTCTAGCTGCGTTTTTAGCTGAAATACAGCCATTTGAAGTTAAGGAAAGACGCAGACAACGAGAGCGCTCTCGTTGTCTGTGTCTTTTCAAAAAATTCAAAGCGCTATATCTTGGCTCCCAGAGCAGCTAGAAAACGCATTCTTTTTGTAAAATAATGCTTGAAAATTGAATTTTTAGAAAATCAAAAAAAATTATTATTCAAAATTTCCAGGCGGACACCGCTCGCCACCCAGCAGCACCACTGCTCTCAAAACTCGCCGCCCGCCAACAAATTCCAGAAGCTGTGGCCGAGAAGAAGGACGATGAGAAGTCGGAGAAAAAATAAATTTGAAAAACTACGATGCTCCGTTGATCCCGCTGTCTAAGTCTCTCGCTTTTCCACACTCTCTCACTCTGATTCCAAAGAAGCAATGTTTTGATCTCAAATTTTCATAAATAAATATTTTTCTTTATTCAAAAAAGTCATTTATATCAAAAAAAAAACTAAGAACACCGGATTTTCAAAGGGGGACTTTTCGAAGTAGACTGGGATTTTATGAAAAAAAAAAAAATTTAAAATTTTCAAAAAAAAAGCTTGTCTATGTACATGGAATGTTTGAGGAAAATTAAAGTTTTGAATCTCAAAAAAAATTCAAGATTACTGTAGCAATCTTTGAAACAAAATCGAGGTCAAAATTGCCAAAATCGATACTGTAGATTTTGAAAAATTGGGATCCGCGTCACCGTCAGAAGTCGTCAAATTTCGATTTATTGGATTTTTGGCCTCTTGAGTCACTTTGGTTATTTCGACGGATCCTTGGCCAGGGGTGAAACTAAAAATCGGATTTTTGAATTTTTTTGAAATTTCACTTGGATTTCGGAAATATTTGGATTTTTTTCAAAATTTTGAAATTTCAGAACTTCAGATTTTCAGATTTACAGATTTTTCGATTTCCTGAGTTTCAGTATTTTAGCCTTTCAATTTCCGGATTTCAGAATTTTCGAATTTCAGAATTTCAGAAATTTTTGAATTCCAGAATTTCTGAACTTCTGAATTTCAGATTCCCACCTTTTCATCGTCGTATCCTCCATCACTTGCTGATCCTTATTTTCTACAGTATGCCCCGAATTTTCAGAATTTGTTCTCTGAGAATGATCTCGAACATTCAATCCAATCGTTGTCGTCACTGTCAGTACATCGTCGTTTTCTTCGTTTTTGCTGAAAATTTCAGTTTTTTGGAAATTTTTGAAAATTTTGAAAATTTCACTTACAGTATCTCATTTGTTGTTCTTTTTGGACTAGAATTTTCCAGCTCACTCGCCAAATCGTCCTCTACCCCATTCTCGAGTTCGGTGGCCGTGGCTGAAAAAATTTCGGTGGCCTTGAAAACTTTTTCGGCCACGGAGTACTTACCATTTAAATCGCTGATATCTTGAGGTGGTCGAATGGGTTGGACTGGAAGTTTTAGATTCAAAAAATTATGAAAAGTCATGACAAGTGCACTTTTGTTCATTGGAGCGCACTTGCATCGCTCAAAGCCTCAAATTCTCAATGGAGCGCAATTTCTTACCTACTGGTCCAGGGGGTTGAATAAGGGGTAACCATTGCATGGATGGTAGGATTTGTTGTTCTGTGAAGACGTAGGAGGAGATCGAGACGTTTGGACTGTTACAGTAATCCTTGGTTGAGCAGGCGCATCGATTGTCGTGGGGTCCTCTGGAAAAATGGGAATTTGAGATAGATCGTGTTTGTGAGTCTCAGTGGAGCGTGCTTGCTGATTTGCGGTAGAGCGCGTTTTATGATTATCAGTGAAGCGCACTAGCTGATTTTCTATAGAGCGCACTTCCTGATTGCCATTAGAACGCGTTTCCAGGTGGAGCACAGATGCCCGTTTTCAGTAGAGCGAGTTTGCAGTCTTGGCTGTCTCAGTAGAGCACACTTGCTGATTCTCAGTCAGTAGAGCACACTTGCTTTTCTCAGTCAGTAGAGCACAGTTTCTGTTCATCAGTGGAGCACGATAGCTGACTGTCGGTAGAGCGTACTTTCTGATTGTCACTAGAGCACACTAGCTGACTGCTATTATAACGCATTTGCAGGTATTTAGTAGATAGAGATTCTTCATTGTCATCGGAGCGCACTTGCTGATTGTCAGTGGAACACATTTGGAAAGTTGGAACTAGAGCGAGTTTGCTGATTGTCGGTAGAGCGCGTTTGCAAGTGGTCAGCGGAGAGCGTCAGCTGACTTTCGGTAGAGCTCATTTGCATAACGTCAGTAGAGCCCGTTTTCTGACTGATTCTCAACTGAGCGCACTTACCTCTGACAAATCGCCTCATCGACAAAAGTTCCGTTTTCCCAAAAATGAAAGCATCCCGCATTGATTGTGGCGTTAAAATATTTGTTAACAACTGAAAAATAAAGTTTGCGGACATCCGGACAAACAGACAAACCTATAAAACAAGCGTCGCCTTCGCAAGTGGTATTACAAGACGAATCGTATGGGGCCTGATATCGATAATCGCATACAGTACACTGGAGTGAGATTACTGTAGGTAGGATTACGGTAGCTAACAGTAATAGTAGGCAGTGAGAGGGTATACGGTAAATGGGCGGCATTGCGAGGGCTGAAAAATTGTAAAATTGAGGGAATTTTTTTGTTGGAAATTTCGAAATTGAGGATTTTGAAGAAAAAAAAGGAATTTCTCAGAAAAATTGAAATTCCAAAAGTTTGTAAAAAACCAATTTTTCAGAAAAATTTGATTCTTTATTTTTGAAATTCTTAATTTTTCGAAAAAATAATGGAAGAGTTTGAAAATGTCAAGAAAATTGAAAAAGACTATAAAAATAATTATTTAAACTCAACATTTTCCAAAAATTTTATTTAGACTCCCAGAAAATTCTACAGTTTTATAGTACTACAGTAGTATTTGTACAGTAAGATCAAATTTGTGACGTGGCAAAAAAATTATGTCTGTTTACTCCCTTTTGGTGTCTGGTTAGGTTGAGAGTTGATCAAGAAGCTAGATGAATCAATTGGAAACTAAATAAATAGAAATTGGAAAAAAAAGTAGAATGAATCATTTTTCGGTTTGTCTGTGTGTCTGTGTATCCGGATGACTTATGATGGATAAACTGAAATTAAATGAACCAAATTTAGTGATTTTTGAATTTTTGATTTTTTCGGATATTTGCTTTTTCGAATTTTCGAATTTTTGAATTTTTGAATATTTGAAAATCTGAATTTTTCAGAATTTTCAAAAAAATTATTCTGAAATTCTCAAACTTTCGAATTTTTGGATTTTCGAATTTTCTGGTGTTTTAATTTTTCTCTTTTTTGACTTTTTTAGATTCCCTTTTTTGAATTTCGTAGATTTTTAAAGTTCTGAATTTCAGAATCTCAGAATCTCAGAATCTCAGAATCTCAGAATCTCAGAATCTCAGAATCTCAGAATCTCAGAATCTCAGAATCTCAGAATCTCATAATCTCAGAATCTCAGAATCTCAGAATCTCATAATCTCAGAATCTCAGAATCACAGAATCTCAGGATTTTAGAATCTAAGAATTTCATAATTTCAGAATCTCAGAATCTCAGAATCTCAGAATCTCAGAATCTCAGAATTTCAGAATCTCAGAACCTCAGAATCTCAGAATCTCAGAGACTCAGGATCTCAGAATCTCAGTATCTCGGAATCTCGGAATCTAAAATTCTGAGAATTTCTGAATTTTTTATTGGGAATCTGTATTTTCTAAGTAAGTCCTAGAGAATGGAATACATTTTTTCATTATGTTTTGAATAATTGGAATTTCAAGATTTCTGGAATTTTTTTGAAAGCTGTAAAGGTTTGGAGACATGAAAGAATTCGAATCTCTCAAATCTCGAAAAAATATAAAAACTGCAATTTTCCAAAAAAAAAAGAGTGTTGTCCTTGACTGGTGGTATAAGAAGATAATAGTGGTACTTTTTCCAAAAATACTTCTAGTTTTTTTACCCTCTTTTTTTCGTCTTATTCATTCTTTTTTCTCGGTCATGGAACGTTGCGTTTTTGAAATGAATCAAAAAATGCGAAGGACGAGAAAAATAAATAGTACAGAATATCATGTTTATTTATGTAAACTTCTTTTTTCTATTGAGAAAAGGAAGGAGGAGAGACCAATTTATGTATGCTTATACTATAGAAATATAGTACGAAAAATTGGGGTTATAAAAATGGAAGTCTTCTGAGGAGTACTGTAGTTAGGGAAATTTTTTTGAAATTTAAAAAATCAAAAAATTCGGAAAAATGCGATATTGAAAATCTGAAAATTCTATAGTACAAAGCTCAAATTATATGTGTATAACTGATTTTTCAAAAGTTCAAAAATTTTGAAAAAAAAAATTGGTTTACCGTAAACACTCTAATAGAACGCCCCCCGAATCGTCAAATTTGAGCCCATGTATCTCATTTTCTGTGAGAGATATAAAAAAGTGATCAACTGATAAAATGTTTATCAGTATATCAGCAACATTTTATCAGTTAACCACTTTTTGTTATCTTTCAGAGGGAATGAGATATATGAGCTCAAAGTTGACGGTATGGGTGGCGTTCTATTAGAGTGTTTACGGTAATTGAATTTTCGACTTTTTTGAAACAAGTTCAGAATTCCAAAAAACTTGAATCCTTTTTTAAAACTTTCTGAACATCTCGATGACCAAAAAAGAATTTAAAATTTCGTAATAAAAATGAAAATTGCATGTTTTTGGTCTCCTTGCCTCAAATACATACATACGTATTCGGATGACACACACAAATAAAAGAATAGGTTTCAAATTTCGAAATTTTCAAAAATTTTAGATTTAAATTTTTTTGGGATTTTTCAAAATACATTCAAAATAAATTCGAGAATTTTGAAACATTTTCTAAATGTGGGATTTTCGAAAATACCGTAAACACTCTAATAGAAAGCCATCCGGACCGTCCACTTTGAGCCTATATATCTCACTTCTTTTAAAAGATATAAAAAAGTGATCAACTGATAAAATGTTTATCAGTATATCAGCAACATTTTATCAGTTGACCACTTCTTGATATCTCTCATGGAAAATGAGATACGTGGGCCCAAATTTGACGATTCGGGTGGCATTCTATTAGAGTGTCTACGGAAATTGAAATTTCGGATGATTCTAAATTTTGAGATTTTTCGAAATTTCTGAATTTTCCAAGAACTTTTAATAATTTAGGATTCTCAAATTTCAATTTTTTAGATTTAAAATTTTTTGTGGAATTTTTCAACATTTTCAAACATTTCAAAAATTTGGGATTTTTCGAAATTTTTGATACTTCAAAAATTTACCAAAGTTTAAAAGAGTCATAGAAACTACAGTAATTCTCAAAATGTTTTGGTTTTTAAATTCCTGAAAAATTGATTTCTGAAAATTTTGAATACCGTAAAACCTGTATTAGAAGGGCCCCTCTAATAGAAGGGCCCACTGGTAAATTTTAGCTTGCTAAATTTTTGTGAAATTGATAGATTCTCATGAATCATGAACCAAAATTCGTCGAATTTTTCGAGGAAAATCTTCGGGAAAAATAGCTGGAGACATAGAAGCCCTCTAATTAAAGGGGCCCTGCATTAGAAGGGCCCCCGGAGGTACCCTGGAACAATAGAAGGGCCGGTCCTTCTAATACAGGTCTTACGGTATATTGTTTTGATGCCTTGGAAAACAACATCTAAAAAAATTGTTCAGGAAAAAATGTCAAAAAAATTGTTTCGAAAAAAATTGTCAAAATAAAATTTCATGTACAGTATACACCCTTAATCCCCTTATCCCCCATCCTATATAAAACTAGAGAGAGAGAGAGATGAAAATCGAGAGACGCAGAGAAAAAATAGAGGCTTAAAATCATAGTGAGCGAATAGGGCGAGTGAGGTGACGAATTGGAGGGAATCTAGATTTTTGGGTTTTTTCGTTTTTTCTGGCGTTTTTTAGGATCAGTGACACAGGTTTCTATGTATCTACAAACACGAACACGGGTATTGTTTTCCGAGAATCGGAAATTAGGAATTAGGAATTAAGAATTTTATACTACACGAGACAAGAAAAACGGAATTAAAAAGGAAGACACCACCTAAGGGAAAAAGGTAAATAGAGAAAGTGAGAGAGAGAGAGAGAGAGAGAGAGAGAGAGAGAGAAAAGTGAAAAAAGATGGGTTTCGAGAGTAATTATGGCGCCGAGGAAGGAGTATAATAGAAGTAGCAGATGGTTGTTTTCTGGTCATGACCTAATTTGTAGCATCTAGGTCATCCTGCTCCTTTTCCAGGTGCCCTAAGTTTCTGGGTTTTCTAGGCCAAGGTGAGAGATCTGTTACAAGCTTGATTCAGAGCGATTTGAAAGTGATGGCCTAGAAAACAAGATAGTTTTAAAGCTAGGTCACCAGTTAAGGGGAGCACCCTCTTCTTTCAGGTGGGCGGCCTAGGTTTTCTGCTAAAGGGTTTTTCTAGGTCAGCAGAGTGAGATGTCTGTTGCAAGCTAGATTGAGAGCGATTTAAACGCGGTGGCCTAGAAAATCAGGTATCTGGAAAGCTAGGCCACAGGTTAGAGGCCTCAGAACCTGTTCTAGATAGCAAGGTGGCCTAGGAAACCGCTTTTTCAAAACCTAGGCCACTAAAATGCTTTGTGATTGTGGCCTTTTGTAGGCTGCAGAACCGTATGACCTAGAAAACCAATTTTCGTAAAACCTAGGCCATCAAAACCTAACCGATGTCTCTATGGCCTAACTTTCTGGTGGCCTAGCTTTCCAGAGACCTGAATTTCTAAGCCGCGACTTTCAAACTTTTCATAATTAAGGTGGATCTCGACACCAACCCACCCCACCTCACGGAGTCACCCGTATTTTTGACAGATCCTTCCGTAAATCTACACAAATACACAAATGATTTATTTGACTTCCGGAGGGAAGTCGAATTGACAGATTTTGGGGTGATCTATAGAGACCAAAAACACAGTGGAACCTTTGAAAAGTCGAAAATTCGAAATTTTTCAAAATACAAATTCTTAGTTTGGTGACCTAGATTTTTCTAGGCCACTTAACTTTTCTAATTTTCGAAACATTTTTCTTGAAATTATGATTTCTAAAAAGTTCAATTTTCAAGCTTCATTTCACAAAAAGAATGAGCTTTCTAGCTGCTCTGTAAGACTTCCATTTCGGTCGGTCGAAAATTGCCGACCGCCGACCGACCCAGCCAACCGACAGCCGACCGAGCTGACCGATCGGTCGGCGCGCCAACCGTTCGAGTGCATTTGCGCGTCAGGGTGTATGCGTACGCTGCATCGCATTTTACGACGCACGATTTTTTCAACATTCAATGATTAAAAACTGTTTTATTAGGAATTTAATTCATCGTTTTATTAGGAAATATATTCACTGCAGTAAAAAGCTATAATACTAAAAAATAAAAGATTTTCGAGATGAAGGAAGAGTCATTGGATCAGGATATGACGCAGGTTACGGAGACAACGACTGAATCGCCGTATTCTTCTTCGGATCGATTTTCGTAGAATATTTAGAATATGCCTGCATGATTTTTTTAACAAAAACTTCTGATTTTTATTCTAAAAAAAGGAAAAAAAACGGAGAAAATCATCAAAAGAACCGATATTGAAAAAATCGTGCGTCGTAAAATGTAATGCAGCGTACGCATACACCCTGACGCGCAAATGCACTCGAACGGTTGGCGCGCCGACCGATCGGTCAGCTCGGTCGGCTGTCGGTCGGCTGGGTCGGTGGTCGGTCGGTCGGCTGAATTTGCCGAGCGAATGGAAGCCTTACTGCTCTGGGAGCCGAGATATAGCGCTTTGAAGTTTTGGAAGAGACGCAGACAACGAGAGCGCTCTNGTTGTCTGCGTCTCTCGCTTGCAACATATCGGGCGGGTATATCTCAGCTTAAAAGCGAGCTAGAGAAGTGCAGTTTTTGCAAACTTTGAATAAAGTGGGAAATTTCCAAAAAAAATGGCCTAGATTTTTCTAGGTCAGCCTAGAAAATCTCAGAAACTGAGCAATAGTACAATGACCCGTGGAGAAGGGGGGAGGGGGGGGGGGGTGCACTTTCAATTGTTTGTATATGTGTGGTGCAAGAACGTGCGAAGAAGAAGAATAAGAAAACACATAATGTGCATAATCTAGAGCAAATAATAAAATAGGCTCCGCCCACTTTGATCTTGTGTGATTATGTTTTGTCGTCTAACACAGTCATAAAGTCTACATAGCCACGCCCCCTTTCAAAAATAAATTTTGACTAGAAAGGGCTAAAAGGGGCGGAGCTTATTTTACCAACAAAAAAACCACGAAAAATGTGCCTAAAAGTCAACTTTACGCTCAATTATCTCATTTTCTGTGAGAGATATCAAAAAGTGATCAACTGATAAAATGTTTATCAGTATATAAGCAACATTTTATCAGTTAACCAATTTTTGATATCTTTTAGAGGGGCCGAGATAAATGAGCTCAAAGTTGACGGTATGTGTGGCGTTCTATTAGACGGTTTACGGTAACTGGATTTTGGAATTTTGAATACCTCTTTTTTGCAAAAAAAAACTTTTCTGGAAAGGGCGGGGCTTATTTTCCTTCGAAAAAAAAGTTGAAGTAAGAAAAAAACGGGATTATTCAATTCGAATTTTCTAGGACAGCAGCAGTTACATAATTATAATTAGTCCCTGCCTGTCGGAGAAGAAGAAAAAAAGGACAATAGGCAAAAAAGGGATCTCTCCTGTCCTGTGGGTGTATAAATTACATAATGGAAATGGGTGAGAAGAGATGACTATGATGCTTATATTCTTCTTTTTCTTCTTCAATAAACAAACAATTTGGGATAGAGAGGGACAGGAAACCCCAAGCCATTTGTTTGGGGTGGTTTCGACGGATGTTCTGTTTTCTGAAGATGGGAGAAGGGTTATTTTGATTTTCGTAGTATTTAGAACTACAGGTTTGTACTTAGAGGTGCCTGTTATTATTTTGTCAGTCTAGAAAAATAAGAGGTTCAGAAATTCAAAAAACATTTTGCTTTCGTATTTGTTAGTAATAAATTTTGGGGATCATAAAATTTTGAAAACTCATAAATTCTAAAATTGAAGAACTCGAATATACTGAAAATTGTTCAAATTCTCGCAATTTCAGAAATTCAGAAATCCAGAAACTCAGAAACTTCAGAAATTCAGAAATTCAGAAATTCAGAAATTCAGAAATTCAGAAATTCAGAAATTCAGAAATTCAGAATTTCAGAATTGCAGAAATTCAGAAATTCAGAAATTCAGAAATTCAGAAATTCAAAAATTCAGAAATTCAGAAATTCAGAAATTCAGAAATTCAGAAATTCAGAAATCCAGAAACTCAGAAATTCAAAAATTCGGAAATTCAGAAATTCAGAAATTCAGAAATTCAGAAATTCAAAAAATCAAAAATTCAAAAATTCAAAAATTCAGAAATCTTCGAGGTGACGCGGAAAGACAAACGGATGGCGACGATTGAAGTTTCTGAGGAACCAACAGGATCCTTTGTGACCATGCGTCCTCGACTTTTCAAATAAAAATTCGAAATTCGTTCGAACAACTACCGGAAAACCTGTAATAGAAGGGCCCCCACACTGCCAACTTTAAGACAATTTATCTCGATTCCTGTGGAAGATATCAAAAAGTGGTCAACTGATAAAATGTTGATCATAATACAGTAACATTTTATCAGTTAACCACTTTTTGTTATCTTTTAGAGGGGCCGAGATATATGAGCTCAAAGTTGACGGTATGGGGTGGCGTTCTATTAGAGTGGAATTTTTAATAAAACGACCTGAAATTCTTTCAAATTTCCAACAATCAATGACGGGACCTGAAAAAAAAACCATGAAACTGAAAAAATATAACATCGATTTTTTGAAGTATATCACCAACTTTGAGACAATTTATCTGGGTTCCTTTGAGAGATATCTAGAATTTGTCAACTGATAAAACGTTTATCATAATATCAGTAACATTTTATCAGTTGGCAAACTTTTGATATCTCTTACAGAAACCGAGATAAATTGACTCAAAGTTGAGCTCATCTTGCTCATCCGCAAGCCGAGATAGAAACGCAGACAACGAGGCACTCGAACTGTCTTGCAGATGAGATAGATAGGCTGAACTTTGAACTAATTTATCTCGATTCCTGTGGAAGATATCAAAAAGTGGAAGATTACGGAAAAAAAAATAATTTTTTCAGTGGGCTTTCCTGGGTTTTTTTCAGGAATTTTAAAGCTAGAAAATGTATTTTTCTAATGAAACCTGTATAAGCATCTTAAAAAATGTTTGAAAATATTTGTTAATTGTCAAAAAAGCTGCAAAAAACCTAAAATTAAACAATCGTGGTGAGACTCAAAGAAGCTTTTAGGATTACGCGCCTTTAACTGTTGATACCGCGGAAAATTTTTTGATGAAGAAAATTTCAGATTTCCACCGAATTTCAGCCAATTTTTCAGGTTTTTTGCAGTGCAAATTGTCGAGAATATGATAAAAAATTAT